ACTCTGGTGTCGCCGGTGTCTTTCCACACTCCTTGAGTACTATTTCCGTTCCTTCCCTGATAGATTCTGGAGAAGCAAGACCGTGCAGCAAAGCCACTCGTTCATTGACCTTGACTAGTAAGTCATCGTACCGACACCTGAGGAGTGCAGGCAGGAGCGGTAGAGGCTTCCCTTCGCAGCACACGGGGTACTGTACTGTACATCCATCCCATCCCCCTATAATCTACAGGTCATATATGAGCTATTCCCTTCTCTCCCTCTCTTCACCACTCCACATCCGGGATAGCTCGCTTCGAACATAGCGATTCGGCGCCGCGTCATTTGTGGGGCTTCGACCTGCTCTACTTGCCTTACACCTCATTAGCAACCATGCATCTCTGGCAGCTCTTGCCCCTCGTGGCTTTTCCTTATGCTTGCCGTATCCTGCTTCCGGAGCACGGAGAATTGTCAAGCAATGTCCGGCCGGAATGCGACCTTCCTTCCTTGATCGACGCTACGGTGGATGACCTGCAAGAGGGCCTCAACAAGAGTTGCTTTACCAGTGTGGAATTGGTCAAGGTGCGTGTGTCCCTCAAACCTTGGCTTTCCCCAAAGTCGAATTTTGAAAATTGAAGGCCTCGCTAACTGGGAATGCCTTTTAGGCGTACACGCTCCGGATCCATGAGGTCAATTCTAAGACGAATGCCGTTCTGGAGCTGAATGATGAGGCACTCAGTATTGCAGCAGCTCTTGACAGTGAGCGAAGTAGAGGGCAAGTTCGTGGGTGAGTTGATTATCCCTGGGCACTCGGAGTTTAGAATTGGGCTGTTAACTCATGTTGGGTATGGGCGCAGGCCTCTTCATGGGCTGCCGATTCTGATTAAAGATCTGATCGGAACGGGGGATCAACTCAATAATACAGGTACGGCGAATTGGTCTTGTTGGGTGGGTTGGAGTGACTGAAGGCTGACTTCTTCATAGGCGGATCTTATGCTCTCCTCGGATCCAAGCTTCCTGCTGAAGCCACTGTGGTGACTAAGCTCAGGGAACAGGGGCTCATCATCCTAGGCAAGAGCAGCGTGTCAGAATGGGCCAATTTCCGCTCGTTAAATTCATCCAATGGGTGGAATGCCAGACGGGGCCAGACGTATGCGGCCTACTATCCTGGGCAGGATCCGAGCGGAAGTTCGAGTGGGAGCGCTGTTGCCACTGACCTGGGACTGGTCACTTTTGCTCTGGGTACAGAGGTAAGCTGGCGACTATCGATCTGATGGCTTGCCGTGAGCTAATTGCTTTTCGTTCTGACAGACTAGTGGCAGCATTCTCCTTCCCGCTGAGAAGAGCAACATCGTCGGTATCAAGCCCACCGTCGGTCTTACATCACGATACATGGTCATCCCCATCAGTGAGCGCCAGGATACCGTTGGACCTCTGGCCAAGACAGTCAAAGACGCTGCCATGCTGTTGCAAGCTATTGCTGGCCCAGATTCCATGGATAACTATACGCTAGCCGCGCCCTTTGCCGACTACCTGCCCAATTATGTGGATGCCTGCAAATTATCCGGGCTGCAGGGGAAGCGCATCGGTATTCCACGGAATGTCATCGCTTATTTCGAGCCGTCCGATGCCTCCATGCTCCCGGTCTTCGAAGAGGCAGTCTCCGTCATTGCAGGTGCTGGTGCGGCTGTCATCGATGAGACAAATTACACAGCGTACAGTGACTTCTCCGTCAGCTCTATCCCAGCTTTGGTAGTGGCCGCTGATTTCACTTCCAATATTGCCACCTACCTGTCAAGCATGACCGGCAACCCGAACCAGCTCCACAGCGTTGCAGACATTCGCCGTTATACTCAGCACAGTCCACCAGAGGAATATCCATCTCGTGACACGGGGATCTGGGATCAAGTTATTGCGGCAGGGATGAACAACACCTCTCCCGGTTTCTGGTCATTGTATCAAGATAACTTGCAATTTGGTGATGAAGGGGGGTTATTGGGAGCACTGAGACGACATGAGCTCGATGCTGTCATCCTGCCCACTCACCTGGCCTCTGATATCCCTGCCATAATTGGGACGCCAGTAATTACCGTGCCGATGGGGGCGTTTCCGAACGGAACAGCGGTCCGAGCAAATGCGCGTGGAGATCTGATCGAGCAGGCGCCTGGGATCCCTCTTGGCGTCAGCTTTTTGGGACCCAAGTGGAGTGAAGAGGCGTTGATAGGTATGGCTTATGCATTTGAGCAGCGGACGCTGGTTCGCGATCGACTTGAACGGTACATTGAGCCGCTCTTTTGAGCCAGTTAAGAGTGTCTATTTCCCATAGTAACTTGCCAGTCTGTCAATTTGAGCACTGCCCTTTTTCAAGAATGCTTAGGTCTGATTTTAATGATGTAACAGTTCGCACTTGGATAATTCAAGTAACTGGCAGGTGGTCATCAGTGACCTTGCGAGCCAATCTGACAATGCTTAGCTCAGGAAGCTTAACAATGGCCTAGTGCATGAGTATTAAGCTATAAGGCCGGAGCACGCATGTTTTTAGGCCACAAGTAGCTTTTTCCAAGATTGGATGTTATTCCCAGCGTTGCGGTGCGCAGCCGATACCCGGGCAAGTAGACGCCTCAGGCAGGAGGGGAACTGTAAACTCGATGAGAAGGAATAAAAGCGCTACCTAGAATTGACAGTGTTCCTCAAATATTAAACATCGTAGTGATATAGCTAGCTAGCCATGAGTGCCGAAGGCCTCTAATACACATTTCCAGGTTCGTTCATCTCCTCCTCCATGGCATACAATACTTAAGGAGAAATTAAACTGCCTTAAGGCAGACAGCATTTTCTGCCACAGGGAGCCAGGGGCGGTCAAAAAAAGAACAGTTTGGCCGCCGGGTTTTCTCCGGCTGTTTTAACCACTTTTCTGCCGGTTTGGGGCGGTCAAGAAATGAACAGTTTCCACCCACCGAGTTTCGTCCGTGGTTCTCCAGCTTTGGCCGACCGAGCCGCTACCACCCAATCCGGTTTAGCCCGTATGGCTGATAAGATCAAGTCTGCGGGCTGGCTGAGTGCCTCGGCTGCACAGCAATCCATAACTTTGATTGCTCCTCTTGCAGTTTTACTTGATGGAGGACCTCGAACAGACCTGCGCATCACTGCGCGCGCAAATAGCTGCCACGGAGGCGCAGCTCGCCGGTCTGAAACGCGAGCTTCAGATCGCAGAGCAAGCGGCACTCGACTCACAGAGTCAGCATACTGACACGAAGGCAAGCCGATGGCCACTTCTCGCTGAGGAGTACCGGCGTTATGGGAGGCAGATGATTGTGCCGCAGCTGGGACTACAGGGTATGTGTACTCTTTTTTTCTCGCCACTCTTTTCCTCTAAGTTCACTCAACGATGTTCGATCTGAAATATTTGAGGTGCATGTGGCTGACTTTGAGGCGCTGTGCGACAGGTCAATTGAGACTCCGATCGGCGAAAGTCCTAATTGTCGGCGCAGGTGGACTGGGATGCCCGGCAGCGATGTATCTTGCTGGAGCTGGCGTGGGTACACTAGGATTGGTGGATGGGGACACCGTTGAGTCGTCAAACTTGCACCGCCAGGTTCTGCATCGCAGCCGAAACGTGGGGAAGTTGAAGGTGGACAGTGCCATTGAGTATCTCCAGGAGTGAGCTTCGCCCCTGTATCCGCTCTGCCACGATCTTGATTCACAACGGTTGACTGACACATCATGTTTTGCTTCTTGCTAGATTGAACCCTCATTCCAGGTATATCGCCCATCGAGAGCATCTAGCACCCGACGCTGCAGCGGATATCTTCAAAGACTACGATATCGTACTCGACTGTACGGATAACCCCGCGACTCGGTACCTGATCTCCGATACGGCTGTGCTACTGGGTAAGCCGTTGGTTTCAGCATCCGCCCTGAGGACGGAAGGACAACTGATGGTGCTGAACAACCCGCCTCGGCCGGCGGGCGACAAAACCGGCGGACCGTGCTATCGCTGCGTGTTTCCCCGACCCCCGCCAGCGAACACCGTCACCAGCTGCGCGGATGGAGGCATACTGGGTCCCGTGGTTGGCACGATGGGCGTCCTGCAGGCTCTGGAAGCTATCAAGGTGATTACGGCCGACGACACCCAGCCTCCCAGCCCTCCGTCGCTACATATCTTCTCCGCGTACTCTACGCCTCTGTTCCGATCGATCAAGCTGCGCTCCCGCCGTGCCAACTGCGCGGTATGCTCTGCAGAGGCGACTGTAACCCTGGATACGGTGCGTTCCGGCTCCACGGATTATGTCTTCTTCTGCGGCAGTGCCGATCCGGAGATGCTACTCGCGCCGGAGGAACGTGTTTCGCCGCTGGAGTATCGGGAGCTGCACCCTCAGTCGTCGGCTACGGACGAGGGCAAGCAACCGACGATGATTGACGTGCGCGAGAAGGTGCAGTTCGACATCTGTAATCTCGAGAACAGTATCAATATCCCGATCTCCACGATCCTGGCATCTTCTACCAGCAAGGGCGACGACACCGCGGCCCAACTCCCAGCGTGGATGCCGGCGGAGCTTGCTGCTGCGGACTCGACGGACCCGATCTACGTGGTGTGTCGCATGGGCAACGATTCCCAGATTGTCGTGAAGAAATTGAAGGAACTAGGACTGGATCGTGAAGGACGACGGAAGGTTGTCGATATTCGCGGAGGCTTCCGCTCGTGGAGGGAACAGCTGGACCCTGAGTGGCCTGAGTATTAGACCACATCTCGATGGACGGACCTTCCTTCTATGACTCCAAGGATTGAATTACATCAGAAGATGTAATGATTGTTCTGGCCTTCACAAGAAGAAGATCCAAGGACGTCAGATTGAAACGAGTCAGTCTACCAATCGAGACACTGCAACTACAAACACCCCACAGGCGAAAGCACCAACAAGACAAGATTAGTCCATACATTCTCTGACCTAGACACCAATATACCACACATAAGCACACAAAGTCTATCTCATAATCACAACCTCCACCTCCTAAGAGCCCAGCTAATCCCTCTGCAAAAACCCAATCGAATCCAACTGCTCTGTCTCCCCGACCCCCAAACTCGTCTCCCTCACCTCCTCCAAATCCTTCTTGATACTCTCCAGCTCCATCGAAATCATCCCAAAGGCATCCGCGCCGAGGGGCACCCGGATCGGGATCCTTCGCCCGCGACTGACAATCGAGACCATCGCCCGCGCAATCGCCTTGGGCTCCGCCCACGCCCGCCGATTCTCCTCCTGGCCCATATACGCCAACAGCGCATTGGCCGGATAGTTGGGGTGGTCGTACGCCGGGTGACGCCCGTGGGCCATGGTCTTGAGGCTGGTCGTGGCGTAATTGGTTTTGACGCCGCCAGGCTCGATGTTGCTGAGGTGAACTTTATTTCCCAACGGAGATTTAGCTCGCGTTGCGCGACCAGATCACCACACCATGGGCTCGAGACAAAGCTGGAAAAGAACAGGGGGGAACTCACTATTCCACTCGCCCGGCAACTCCCTTGCCACCGCCTCGGTGAACCCTTCCACGGCGAACTTGCTGGCGTGGTAGAACGCACTCCCCGGGAATCCGATGAACCCGCCCATCGAGCTGACGTTCAGGATCACGCCGCCCCGCGCACCCCCACTCCTGGAATTGTCCTCGCGCATGATCCGCAGCGCGCGCTTGGTGAGGTTCACCACGCCCCAGAAGTTGGTGTCCAGGAGCGCGCGCGACTCGGCGTCGGCGGCGACTTCGGTGTCGCCCACCAGGGTGTAGCCGGCGTTGTTGACCAGAACGTCGATGCGGTGGAAGTGGGCGAGGGTCTCGTGGAGGGCGGCGTCGATGGAGGCTTGCGAGGTCACGTCTAGCGCCAGGGCGAGGAGGTTGGGGTTGTTGCTGCTGGTTGGGAGGGATAAGCTGGCGGGATTGCGGGCGGTTGCGACCACACGGTGGGTTGGGTGGTGGGTGGTGATGTGGTGCACGAGGGCTTGGCCGATGCCGGAGGAGCAGCCGGTGACTTTTTTTTAGGATTATTAGTTTATGTGTTTCGGTTTTTGGTTTCGCTTTGAGAAAGGCATGGGCACTGACTGAACCAGACGGCGTCGGAGGGGATGTGGTATGGTTTGGTGTTTGGTCCGTCCATGGTGAGTGTGGATGTGTTGGATTTTCCTTGCTAAATGTCTTGTCGGTCTTGTTTGTCTTGCTCAGATCATGGAACTGAAAGAAACTGTGCTATTTATCTGCCGTAAGTGGATGATGCTATTGATGCTCTCTTGTATATGGCTCTCGTCAGCCACGGGCTCGTAAATCCGTCGCGGCGCTTAAGCCCGCTAGGACCCGTTAGCAAACCCTAAGAAGCCCAGGTGGCTGACGAGCATATGAAGGCGCCATACGAATCGAGCTGCGTATGATTTGAAGGGCACCAAGAACATTCACTTACCAATGGCGTGAATAGCTTTCCGCTTCCCAGTAAGTCCACATCGGAGTGACTGTGTCTTGATCGCTCGACGAGCCATTCACCCTAATTGACTTGGATCTCTGTGTGAATACCTATCGTAGCAGTCTATGCCTATATGCGTGACAAGCATATTCTCCATCCCACCCTCAAGCCTGCGCTAGACAGTCTTTACTATGAATACACCGTATCCAAGACATCAAGCATCAATCATCTGAGATCCGTCCGCTCGAGTTCGGGATCTCATTCATGAACACCTCCTAACCTCCATGAGCCACGGGTACTAGTGGCCTAGGATGAGTCGTCTTCCAATCAATTACCATATCCTAGCCCTTGAGGTAATTGTATCATCTGGATACATAGACCATGAGAAATACAGACCAAGAAGTTCCTATCTTCTATGTGTCAACCCAAAGCGCATGGAAGCAACCACATGCACGGTGACGGGCAGGGAGTCCTCCACGAGACCTGAAAATCTGTCTTCTCTGTCTGCAGAACTTAGATACGAATGTAGGAAGCCCGTTCCCCTTCCCGTTTCGCATTTTGTGACTCGTCCCTTTGCCTTGTGCATCTCCTCGCAATTCCCACTCAATCTATCTAAACCTACCGCCCGAACCCTAAAACCTCCAATCCACTAATAAAGCAAACCAGTCCACAGGCCACAATCTAATCCTTCCCTCTGCCTCTTCTCCTTCTCTCAACAGAGGATCCGTCAAGACAAAAATGACAACCCCCGTACTTACCCCTTCGCAAAGCCTTCTCAACAAGGTAAATGCCACCACTAACAGTACTACGGCTACTCCACCCAAAACAAGTTCAATCTATCACCGTGAACGACCCTCACTGAAAAGGGCGTCAGTCCAGCACAACACAAAGGCACATACTAGAAGAGACAGGCAGAAAGCCCCGTCTTCAAACATAAGCTGGCGCCCGTGGCGTCAAGAGACGTCGTTTGGAGGTACTGGGAGAACCCAGGCCTATGAGAAACGATAGGTTGTTCATGTCTCTGCCTCCACTACCACCACCACCACCACCACCACCACCACCACCATCACCACCGCTGCAACGATCACCATTACCAGCGTGAGCAGCTGCAGCTGCCGCACCACCACCGCCAGCACCACCACCAGCACGTACGTGCTCTTTACCCGGAAGTCACCCTCTTCCCTGTTTTGATGCTCGTGTCGTCGAAATAGCGGGAGTACAGGAGCATAGTTGCCCTTGTCGAGGGTATAAGAAGGGATTTGACGTGCCCATGCGCGGTGTGGCTTCGCTTTGGTCATGGGGGTTAGGGTGAGGGGATGATGTGATAAGGAGGTGGGAATGGTGCTCATCAGGAGGAGCATATGGAGAATTAGAAGAAGAAGGGGGGTGGGGGGGATGGGTATCCTACTTGGGGTGATTTCTCTTTGGTACGAATGCATATCTAGACAGCGTGTTGTACTTGTTTCTTGTCTTGCCCTGTTTTTGATTCGTCTTCAAAGCTTACGTGGTACTCATCCTACGTTGGATCTGTTGGACTTCTAGGATATCTTACTCGGTTTGTTCCTGCTTCGCATGTGGAATGAATGGTTGCTTCTTCTTTTTCATTGTCATGGTCTTCACCATATGCAAAAGTCAGGAATCGCAGCGTGGAGAACAGGTACAACAACGTCATTAGTAGTAGCATTCGCAAGGAGCAGCATGAGATACTGGCACTAAACCCCCAGAGATCTCTGTATTTCCGGGACCCCAACCATCCAACACAATGACTAAATACACCCTGCAACCCCGAATCAACCAACCCTTCTATCCATTTCCCCCAAGCCCTCCGAGTTACTTGCTGAGAAACACTCTCAGAGTCTACCTCGCAAAGCAACTACACAACCCGCCCAGCGCCACCACCCCCAGCAGAACCCTCCACAAAGCCTGCAGCCCATCCATGTACATCCCGCGCAGCACCTCCATTTCGCCTTCATTCCCGTTCTTCCCCCCATTCTCACCCATCATCATCAGCAACATCATCATCATCATCGATGAACCATCACCATCTCCTTCAGTTCCATTCCCTCCAAGCCCCAAGATATCCACTCCCTTTTGGTCTCCCATCTCCCGCACCACCTGACCCAGAACAATGGTCCCGCTCACCGTTACCGCGATGCACATGCCCCACGTCCGCAGGATGGAATACAGCAGCATGCCTCCCTTGGAGACCTCGGTGCGAGGCTCCCCGGCATCGTTCGTGCTGCTGTCGTCTGACTTCCAACGTCCAGAAGTGCTGTGCGATCGTGGTCGGTGCTGGAGGCAGCGATGGTATGCGGACATCAAAAGAGCGTGGCTGATCCCGGTGGCGAGGAAGATGAAGACCCAGGCTTGCGGTGGAGTGTGCATGTCGAGGGTGATGAACGCGCACGAGGCCAGAAGACTGATGGCCCAGCCGGCGCGGATGATCCAGCGGAGGGTGCGGGGACGGTGCAACAAAGACCATTTGGAGACTAGGAGGAGGGCGGGGACGGATGGAGCGGTGATTGTGAGGAGGCTGAGACCCGATAGGGTCGGGGTGAGGCGTTTGATCAGGATCAGGTACATCGGGAGGTTGAGCAGGTGGGAGAGGAGCTGGAATTTTTACGTGTATTAGCTTCACTAGGCTGGTAGTAATGGGGGCTTGGAGACACGCACCGAGAACCCATGAAGGAAGCTGCTGAGGTACATCATCGCTCGAGGCAGGCACTCCATGTCTGCTGCGATGAAGATCGACCGCGTCGCCCAGATGCTCTCGTAGAGGACAACCAGCAGAATCACGCCGGCTCCGATGCAAAGAGGCACGAGGACCCGCCAGCTCAACCAGGGGTAGAAAGTGCCGCCCCAGCTAAGACCGATGAGCAGGCACCCCATGCCCACGAGGCTGAGAACGACGCTCAGCCAACACATGCTGCGGAGTTTGCGTATGGAGATGCTGCGGCGGCCACGCAGGTCCACGGCGAATGGAATTATGAGGAGCCCTAGTGCGCAGAACGCAAAGCTGGCGTAGAAAGCCCATATCCTGGAGGTATAGTCGCTGAACAGTCCTCCGAGAACCAGGCCAAGCATGCTTCCGATGACACGAGCCCGAAAGAGATATCCGGAGTAGTGGGCCAGGTACATGTCGGGGATAATGTCGGCCATGACCAGGATCGAATAAGCCATCACTGCCCCTCCTCCGATCCCTTGCACAAACCGGCCGGCGATGAGGCTGGCTAGGTTCATTGAGCCGCTGCAGACGCCCGTCCCGGCCGTCGCGAGCACCACCGCGGAAAGGACAATAGGACCCGCGCCAATAAGATCAGTGAGCATGGCAAAGACCGCCTGGCCCGTGGCGCTGGCGATGAGATACGAGGCCTCAATCCAGAGGATCCCGCCCAGTGCTCGCTCGAGGGTACTTGATAGGCTCTAGGGGAACGGTTTAGTCAACGCAAAGCATTCTGTCGTTCATACGTACTGGTAGCAGGGGTATAACGACAGTCACGTTCAGAGCGTCCATTGTGACCAGCAAACAGGCTGATATGATCATCAGCCACTCCTTGACGTCCGGCTTCCATCTTGCCCGCTCGATATTGGCTTCGAGATTATTGTCATGGTGGCTTGCCGGGGCGTCGATGTTCTCAACTAGGTTTTGGACGCATCTGCCGCTGAAAAGCTGCACGTCGCAGCCATTTTTATCATGGCTAGAGTCAACATATTCCAAGCCCATTGTCGGTCGGTGCTCAGAGTCTCTTGAACCTCCGTGATTCAACTAGAGCTCATAAGACAGCCGAGTGCGACACGGAAAAAGACGTCGAGCACATAGGAAGGCAGAGCATCCCATCACCGTGGAATAGAGGGGAAGTTCCGTTGCATCATCATCTCACAGAAGACTAATGCAAATCAGTCAATCATCCAGATTTCTATTGCCTTGATGGGTCCGACTATATCAGTCAATACATACTAGCATACTCCAGTATGCAAGGGGGCAGCACAGAGCCGCGAGGAGCTGATACGTAATTCGTGCTATTGTTGTTTACCCCCTAGTTTCGCTCCTGCATTAGAAGCGGTCATAGTGCAGTTCTAGCCATAACTTCGATGCAAAAGAATTGATATTGCGGTGATTCGCTCGAAAAGGGCATTCCGATCACCCAGGTAGTCAAGAAGTCCCGCATCTGGATAGCTTGGCTTTCCCTTGTAGTATTGGTATGCAGGCACAGGTCACATCGGATAATCACCTTGAACCAAGAAGCCAAGAAATAGTCGGCAGCACATTCACATGGAAGGGGGGCGAGATTGTCTAATGGTACTTGGGGAGCACATAACCCCCTATGTCTCGGAAAAATTGCATCGCGCTGGTCATAAATTTCGCAACATCCTCCCCAAGCCATGGCGCGAGCATTCTTGTCCTGGTAGATTCCATCTCACGAAGATAATTCCCGGCAACCTGTCAGAATGAGATCTTAGTCCCGGGAAAAGCCTCCATAAAGAACGTAAGAGAACAGAAGCGCACTCACCAGAACACAGGACCCCTTTCGGTGCGAATCTATTGCAACCTGCCCAATAACTTCCGCCACACGCTGGGGTGTGTTGGCTTCCAGACCTGCTGCGTGCCATTTGTCTGAGAACCCTGCTGTGATCCGTGTCGGTGTGAAAAATGGAGCAACGGCGTTGATGCGGATGCCGTACTGCTGCGCAGTGGTCTGGGAGGCACGAAGCAACCCCACGATTCCATGTTTCGAAGCGACATATGCCGCTACACCAGTACCTCCGAAATACCCAGAGGTGGATGCTAGAAGCACAATAGATCCCGATGGTTGATGTTTGTACCTCATGTGGTGCATCGCTAATCTGAGAGCTGTCGATCGTCAGTAGGGAGTGACGTGATGCGCGAAGGAGAGTTACTATTCAGGGTTCCTTTCAGGTTGATATCAATCACTCGAAAACCTTCAGTGGACTCTCTGAGATCGCCATTTTCGTCAATATCGTCGAGGTTCAGTACTGGATGAGACTCCATCACTCCAGCGTTGGCGATGACTATGTTAACCTCTCCGAAAACGCGAACTGCCTCGTGAAAGAGCGTTTTCATCTGCTCCCAGTCGAGGATATCGGCTGCAAGGAATATTGCCTTCTCAGGTCGAGAGAATGTCTGGATAAGTGCTCTGGCCGTCCCCTCGAGGGACGCAAGATCGGATAGGATGACATTTGCGCCATGATGATTGAAGAGTGTCGCGGTAACGGCTCCTATCCCGTTTGCTGCTCCAGTCACAATGACAGTCTGACCAGCTGCCTGAGATAGCAAGGCTGGCTCGATCTCAAGTTCCTGCATACCGGTCCTTGATGGTAGTAAGTTGCGGCTCAGATGAGGTTGAAGAAGGAGGGGTCGAGCGTAACTGCGGGGTTGTCAGGAAATGAGCAGCCATCGCCCATTAAGCCGCTCCCTGATGATCATCAGCAGCCTGCCTCATACCTTACAAGATCTCGCGCGAACCAAAAAAAAAAAAAAGTATGTACTAGGTGAGATAGACTCTAGTGGAAGAATGACCTGATTATACACACAAAAAGACTGGAATCAATCAAGTTTGTCCAGATCCGTCATCGAGACTCTTGACACCTCAGCCGAAGATTTGGCGCTATGTGCAGTGCTAATGGCATGAAAAGAGAAGTCCAACTCCCCTACCAATGCTTTCACGTCTCTGCTTGGGTTAGCATGATACGACACTGGGTCAAACGGTCAACTCACTTCATCAGTCTCTCCACGTCACCAACAATGCATCTGGTGGAAATCTGCAACACCGAAAAGGTAGCAAAGCCAGGCTCCGCGATATGTCTCAGATTCAGAATATCCTTGTCCAGCGCCTCAAGCCTCTTAGAAAAGCTGTACGGACGAGGGGTCTTGAGATACGGCGGCAGAGGCTGTTGATTTGTGATGCTAGCCGAGAGGAGACATAGAACGGAAGTCACCTCGTGCGTCGTCACTCGGGCGCTTGCTACCAATCTTTTGAAGTCATGAAGCCAAGCTGAGTCCGATTCATCGTCATGCCCAAATTGCAAGAGCGTGTCCGACGCGTATCCCAAAAGACTCAGATAGCTGACGATGCTGTATACATGGTCAGAAGGATTGACATCCACATCAAAATCAGGCTGACGTACCTGTCAATGCATGTTATTATCGAGTCATAGCGCTTCTTCGGAAATCTTCCACCGATGGGGACTTCCCATTTCAAGAAGCCGGAGTAGGTTCGCAAGCTGTTCAGCATGAGCATCTGCTTCGAAAACACCTTGTTGCGGGCCTTGAGCAGTCGCCGCCCTGAGGAGGTTTTAATCGCCAGATCGCCCTCGTCACCTCGCATGCGTGCGGAGACGGTCTCGTGAATAACTGAATAGTAGTTTGCTAAAAGGTACAAAGATGCCCCCAGACTTTGGCGGAGAGCAGAATGTTCCGAGATCGGATAAGGAAAAAACGTCCAGAAGAAAGCAACGGCGATACCCCCAGCCACTGCTGCAAGTCTATATGGTGCTAGCAGATAGATGGGATAGTACTGCTGTCCATTGGAGCTGGCCACTGCCTCTCCGATCTTGCGAACCTCCAACTCGTACCCCACTATCATGGAGGTAGAAATGATGGTGATGATGCCAATGATGCGGAAGCGGAATTGTTTGATTGGTACATAGAAGACGCAGGTCAGGAAGATGAACAGGAAGACGATAATTCCCGGAGTCTTCTTGCCGGGGATATACCAAGCCAGTAAGCTAAGCACCATAGCTATGACTGTGCCTAGAATACGGAGAACAAATCCAAAGATGCTCTGGCCCGAGGTAGGCGACATACTCAGATTGACCATTATCATGGCCCATACAAACCTCTGCTTGACGAAGAAGCTTTGAGTGTCATGGAGAAACGCGACCACAGCCACGGTCATCGTGGCGCAGGCAACGCGGAAGCCATAAGAGGATTCAGGTGAGCGGAGGGCCGAGGGGATCCGTCGAAGCTTGTCGCCGAATCTTTGCAGTGCATTCTCCGCGGGTAGGTGTTCAGGGTCTTTTCGATGTTTGTATGCTTCGCCTAACTGAAGAATATTGTTCTGCGAGCTAATGTCGCCACCAAGATTATCATCTTCGTGAGTATCTTCCGCTTTGAAGGCGCTTACAACCCATTTCAATAGGCGTTTAGATCCTGGTATGATGAGCCGTTTTCTTGACAGTTTTCCGCTCGCACGCTTCTCGTCAGCAAAGTGAATGAAATCCTGGATGACATGGCCAGTGGAACTGAGAAGTTGTTCCATCTATAAAAGTCAGCAGATTGCTTTAGGCACTGCATAGCCCAGTGTCCAACGTACGTAAAGAATCAAATACAGCTGCCTTCTGCTCCGATCTCGTCCAACGCCTGAACTATCAGAAGGTATATCATCGATATCGATGTGAACGGAAGAAGGGTGCTCAAAAAAGTCGGGCGGAAGAGTAATCCCTTTTTCTTCGCCCCAGGCCCGCAAAGCGATACGCTTCGCTGCCTTGAAGTCCTTTAGCTTCTTTGCATAGAGGCCAGCAAAGGCTTTTTCGCCGGGTTTCGGGCTTGCGTTTGCCTCCACATCTTCGGATTCTTTCGACGCAGTTGATGATTTGGGCGGTTTGCTGAACTCAAGAACGTACGACACATGCTGAAGGCCTTCATCAATTGTATTGATCATAGAGCGGAAGGGGTCATGCACAGCCCGCATGATATCGTTCCATTCCTGCACAACGCGATAGCGTATATCCTCTGGGGTGCCAGGATCAATCGGTTGATTCCACTTGTTGTAATCGGAAAGACGTTGGAAAATGTCCACCACAAAGCTTAGACCTACAACCGGTATCATAGCTTGACGCAGCTGTCTGAAAATTGCTTGAAGATCGTCGGGACCGAGTTTGCCGATGGCGAATTCACGCTTTGCGAATGTCAAGTCTCCGTGAATCTTGGCATGGAGATCTGTGAGTTTCTGGCAAGCTGATCGGATAGCCGCTGCCTCTGGGCTGTAGACTTTGCCGCTCTTGGTCATCTTCTCCACTCGAGAGTCGTAGGTCTCGGCCCGGCCAAACATATCCTCACGCTCTAGGGATTCAAAATACGCTGTGTGGGCTCTGAGAGCGCCACGTAAGCCGTCAATATAACCTCCCATTTGTTTGAGAATGATGCCTCGAGTACTCTTGGGCAAGATAAACAGGGATACACCTGTACAAATAGCTAGCCCTGTCAAACAAGCTTCGAGCAACTTTTTCACCAATGTGATCGCTGCGGTCATAGTTCCTAGACGGGGCGCATAGGTGAACGTGACATTAGCAACGATAGAATAGATGATCACGGGAAATTGAAACTGCTGAAATTTGGCTCTGAATGTATGGACCACGTAGATCTGGAAGAATAGCCAGACTCCACTGACTGCTGATGCGGAGGCATTGTACGAGACGGAGGTGGTTGAGGTAGCACTCGATGTCGCTGAAGATGGCTCTGAGTGTTCTCGGGCCTTGATAGAGCAGTACATCATGAGCAATGCGAAAGCGGAGGCCACACAGACTGCGAGAATATCAAGCACCATCATCTGAATGAATTTCGCCTGCGGCATGATGGAGAAACCCAGGACAGAGATGATAGCTACCAAATAGCCAACGGTGTTGAATTGACCGGACACAACATCTGATTGGTACCTATAGCTTATTAGGTCTGATCCTTATACTGATCAGAGGATGTTGGTAGGCAAGCATACATAGCTACACATATCGTGGGTGGGAGTGCTCCCCTGTTGCGAAAGATTGCATTTAGCTTCAATGCACATATCTGGTAGTGAAAGAATCGGTGGGACATACTTCATCATGAGCAGCAAAGTGGGAATGTCCATGTTTAGCTTACCCCAGATAATCTGGGGTAAGCTGAAAATCTTCGTCCATTTTCGCTTCTTTGGGCTATCATTTGTGGCCTGCATCGATGGCGAGGCGGCTGCTTCAGCAGCGTCCAACACGACCATGTCTTAGGCCAATCCGTGGTGTCGGTCGCAATGGCTCTGTCTCTGTCTCTGCTCAGGATGCATTTCCCGGGGTGTTTTGATGATCACGCCCTCTGCTTTCCCCGACACACGTGATCTATTAACCGATGCCGAATCCGGAGACGGGAAAAGAAAGCTCTGAATTGTTGGGGACGGTGATCGAAGGAATAGATCGCACAACTTTAGCCTGTAAGGCTATTGAGACAGTACAGGAGATGGATGCAGGGGAGATTAGTAGCACAGGGAGAAGGTTGAAGAAAATGGAATCAACTTTGTTGAGGCGGGGTACGAGAAGGAAGGATGACTCGGTGAAGATAGAATCGGTAGGGGAAGAGGATTATTTGGTGGCGATCGGCGCTCCGTTACTTAACCGGGCAGGCACAATACTTTCTCCCATCCGCGGTCACGGCTCGTCAATGCCGCCTGTCCACAGACTATGTATTGATCTTGAGTCAATGGAGTACTGCCTATCAGTATATCTGCAATGACTGCCGGAAATCAACGACTTGTGCAACGTGCAAGAACCCGCCATCCCGTCGGACTATTTCCGGCCCACTTGCAGCTTAACCGCATATGATATCATACACTCACTACAGAGGATAAATGATATTGACACGGGCCGCCTTTCCCATGGCACCGGTGCTAAGCCGACTAAGGGAAGGCGACCCGTGTCAATATCAATCATCCACCAAGGAGACAACTAAAGTTGTTGCTATGTATTTGGTCCACCTTCGAGCATCTTTCACATACAATTTCTTAATATGTCATCTCTCTCTATCATCATTTACAGACCAGAGGAGATGAGTCCTAATAGTTCAATCCCGGACAATCTGCACTTTCGGGAACAAAACAGGCTATCGAAGTCTGTGCTCAGACCGGGCAACGAGGCGGCCTCGGATGTCTGCTGACGGAAATATGAGCAAGCTACGGAGTACACTTAGTTTATCCGGCACTGATCCGAAACCATCGGATCTCAAGCCGCGGTGACCCGTAGTTTCCGCACTCGTCATGCTCCTCGCGCCAATACGTGCCTGGAGATCTTATGCTTGACAACAAAAGTCATGTCAATTGCGTGTTGCTTGTGCCGAGGGAATAGATGCCATTCCGCATCATTGTTCTTTTATGTTAATTCCGTGATAGTCGAGCGGTTTTACTTTGCCTTGCTAGTCTCACTCGCACTTGTGAGTGACAGGCGTGTGTACGATTCCCCTCCGGGGAATCTTTTTTTGTTTCATATATTGCTTTTTGTTTCCCTCCTGTCCGCAAGTTGGGTGTCGATACATCACAACGATACAACCGTAAGAAGTAATAAGAGGTCTGTGAATTCTCAATGAAATAGGAGGACTGTCAAATACAAAGCACTCCACAGCTTAGGTCTGAGATGTGTACGAGACGTGGGTGAGTGATATTTTCAGCTACGTGAGGCTATCTGAGCGAGGAATTACGATATATTAACATATGCTGCGGCGGGCGGTGAGCAGTCTGACTATCGAGGGCTTAGGGCCGCCGACAAGAAGCGTAGCCCTAGCAGTAGATGTTCTTCTTCCAGTCCCAATAAATCGATCAATGTTTTCACTTCCGAGGAGCACCTTCAACAGTTCTGAGCTACATTTACTGGCAAAAACGTATAGCAAGGCCTAATGTAACATCCTTCAAGAAGTGGATTAGATCGTCGAATCAAATCCCAACGTAGAGTCAGAATCCGAGTCTCCTATATATGAAGAGAATTAATTACACGAAAGGTAAATGTTTCCTTGAAGCTGCGTCATCAGCTACTACCATTCCAACCCCCCTAAGCATGACCCCAATGTCACCGTAGCAAGAAGAGAAACCCAGTTAGCTTCTCCTTTACAGCTTGCCCTGACCAGCGTTGGCGGTAACGCTGGAGGCGACGGTGGTGTAAGCGGAAGCACTGGCAATGTTCTTGCCGGCGAAGTTTGTGAGGAAGGCAGTGTCGGTCTCGTCGAGAGTGCCAGAGCTGCCGAAACCGTTGATGACACAGGCACGGCCAAGGGAGGCAGTGCAGGAAGATCCGGAGGAGGTAGAGGGGACAGAGAACATCTGGCCATCGACGGGGGTCTCGACAATGGTGTCAACGTTCTGGAAGACGTTGCCCTCAGCAAGGATGTAGGCACCGGACATGACCTCGAAGGCGTGGCCGGTGTTGTCGTACCAGTAGTTGTTGACCTGCCATTGGTTAACCGCAAGATCTACAAGCAACCGAGAATCTGCCGATGATAGCCTAAAGGGGGGAGAAAAGGAATGTGACTTACGGCGTGGACGAGGGTGTTTCCTCCAACCTTGGGGGAACGACCGCTGGTGTGGTAGATATAGTTGCCCTTCAGGGTAACCATGTCGCTGGATCCATCGAGATAGATTCCCCAGTATGTGTAACCATCACAAGTGGCAGAGTAATCAGTGAGACCGTCAATGTAGTTGTTGGTGATAGAGACGCGGTTGTCGGCATCAGTTCCAAGGACGATGTGCTGGCGACCAATGCGAGCGGTGGTCACGTGATCGATCCAGACCATATCGACATCATCAAGAGTGATAGCATCACCACCCCAGACGTACTTTTCGTTGATGTCGGTGATGGCGATGTTCCTGATATGTATTAATAGAGGAGTTCGCCAATCTCAAATTGTATGAATGGAAACATACTGGATGATAACGTTCTCAGTACCGCTGACAAGACGGAGACCCTTGCCCTTGATGATACCAGTGCTACCGACACCAACAATGGACTTGTTGGAGCCAACGGTGATACCGAGAACACCAGCGTTGTCGCTAGAGAGGGACAAGAGTCAGAGCGATGCTCTATCAAGGCGATCAAATGGCGGGTAGGGCAGGATCACTTACTAGCTTACGGAGACGGAGGGAGCATCAGGCTCGTAGTTAGTGCACCAGTCGTTCTGGTTAATAGCCACCTGACAGGCCGATGCAGTTCCCCAAGGAGCACATCCAGTGGAGGTGGTGGTACCCTCAGTGCCGGTGAAGTCGAAGGTCTTCTCGAGGATGATGACACGGGCCTCGCTGTCACCAAGGTAGGAGACCAGCTCGTCGGTAGTGGAGGGATAGACGGGAGTGGCGGAACCTCCTCCAGTAACGCCCTTGGCGAAACCCTCAGCAGAGCCGGAGACACCGACAGCAGCGGCGGAGCCGACAAGTCCAGCGACAGCAGCGCTGAAAAGAGCAGTATACTTCATGGTGGATGGAAGGACAGAGAACAGAGATAGAAGACCAGCTATCTGAATAGAAAAAAAGGAAAGACTGACTGAGAAAGAAGGACTGAGGTGAAAGAGGGACAGAAGGAGGGAAAGAGGGAAAGAGTGGGATGAGAGAGAAAAGAAACCTGATGGAGGAGGAATACTCCAGAGGACTTATATAGCTGGAGTTCTGGGAATCATGAGGAGAAAGCCACTATCTCCAATCTGATGGAGCAGAGTCGCGATATCGAATGAAATTGAACGGGTGATCGGGATGAAACGTCCAAGGCCATTTTTGATTAGAAGCTAAGGGCTCTTGCACAAATGCGTCAATTCTTCTTGATCAGTCCCAGACTTGGCGCCGGAGGAGTGACCGAGGCCTTGCCATGGAATCACGGAATTCTGGAAGAGTTGAACGGACCAGACCGTGGGCTGGTTCAAAATGGGAAATGATAAGCAGCAACAGCCACATGGTTTGCCCACCACCACAGAGAGAACCTCCTGGTTCATAGCCCATGAACACGGCGATCCACCGTCAAGGGGCGGCCGGTAGCATATTGGAATTGGCGCGATGGGAACGTTAGACTGTGGAGCATCCCGGGTGATTTACGATGTTTCATGATTATCACGCCGCTGCTATTTAGCCCTTGTAGTCTAAAGTAAAAATCACGCCGTGGCAAAGGCCGGAGGTCGGATGTTACCAGTACACGTAGACAGGGTAATTGTTCCGTCTTGGCCGAGGGATCCATGATATTGATGGCCGGGTGACTGCAGGACTGCAGAAAGATGAGGATATTGAGAAGAATGGAAGCTCGACTTGCGGACCTCCGGCGGGTGGTTTAGGGCTGTCAGATGTAACACGGAGCCGGGCCGGAAACCTCCTGTGTGTCACAGCCTCACCCATCAAGGAGTCTCAGATCTTGTTGTGACTCCTTGTTAACCAGTTGCACGGTTGTTCCCCATGTTATCCGCAGAGTATGGCTGGTGCCTGCGGAAAAAGAATCTTTAGATCGTATCTGCATAGTGTCAGGAAGTTCAGGAACGCTGAACCGCCGGTCCACAGCCAACAGGCGAGTGGGCCTTTTTTCGACCCACCACATCGCGGGACCAGAATTCCAAAACAAAACAGAACTCAAAAGAAACGTAAGATTTATTGCACCAGCAAGCTAGCACCCCGTCTTCTCTCCTAGAAGGGTAGCTCCGAGCGCTTCCAGAACACGAGTTGTGTCTCCATCAATCGGATATTATGGCTATCTTGGTAAAAGAAGGCAAAGTTGATCCCATCAACGTCTCTAACTGGTGCCACTAAGGGCAAGAGTCCCCACTTGAGATAACTTCCCAAGTCTTCCAAGAGGATCCGGTGCTTGATGAGAAATGGAGATGACGTCCACCTGTGTCTTACATTCAAATCTAGCTGCAGGACGCCAGCGGAAATAAACTAATGGAGGTGAAGTCTTAATCTGAGACCAAAAGCCTTAGCTGTTTAAGCTTCTTGCAATGTGGTGATGAGATATGCACGGCGTGGTGAGGTCGGATTGTACGTACGATAAGCCTACCAATAGAAGGCATTTTATTTCCGTCGTCCAGCAACGGTCGGTCGAATTACCATGTCGGGAGTAGAGGCTCATATACCAGAAAACAGTCGGTGGATTAAGGGCTGTAGGACCATCGGGTTTCGGCCCTAAGCATGGTCAATGCTACTCAGTATCTTGACGAACGATAAAGAGGGGTGGAATATTCAGTTGTTTTCATTTCCCGCCAGCGCCCTTGACCAGATGCAGCAACTTTTCCGCAATCCCTACCTTGTGCAGCGGTTGATTCCTGACCCTGTGCAAATTAGCATCTGGACCCGCAACAGAGGGGCGTAGCTGCGATATTGGCTGGCCATTTTGTTCGTCAGTCACAACTATAAAATGGCAGTTATAGGAGACCGGCTTCTTAGTGCAATTTATTTGGTCCCTTCCCGCTCTATGGCAGAGGAGCAGGCTGCTCAAATTGCCTCCGATTTTGGCAATGATATGCAGCTGCAGTGTCTTCCAGGTGAGGAACAGCTACTTGTGCTTCCACATCGCTCAAGTATTGGCAAAAGCCGAGATAATATGCTCCATACCAAGTCCAGCTAATGTGATGGTGACCACACCCATTCCCACCGACTGACCAGGTTGAATGCGACGAGAAATGAAAAAGGGGAAGACTCGAGGAATCCGAATACGACGTATAAGGTGAGGTTGTTAATCAGGATCTCGCGGCGTGAGATGGCATCCCGAATTCGGCCAAGAACTTCATAGAAGGATGCAATCCGCTTGCTATTGTCCTACGCAAGTGAGCTTGATAGGTATAGGGGACAGACAGATCAGGCTGCGACTTGAGATGCATGAGATCGAGGAACTGGGTCAATCCCATCTTGCCAGCACAACTTCGACATGAAGCCCAAAGTCAACACCCATTCAATTAAACTCATCATCCTCAGACAGGGGGGCCGGTAATGGCCGGTAGATGATCGCCGACTAATGCAACCTGATGTCTTTTTAAATAAAGCCTTCATCGGTTGTTGGGTAAAGATAGTGATGGTGTCAAGAAGCGTGGTGCCGGCATTTGTGGAAGATGTCTTACATTCCAAGTTCCTCGCAAGTTCCGCCCGCGGGGCTCAGCTGGATAAGTTAACTGCCACAAAAGACTGCTAACCTATCGTTGCCTCCTTGTTCCAGCCTTAATGCCTTGATGCCTGAGACCAATTATAATGCCTTGTGGCCTAGTAGCCTGGCGGGTAAGTCTTGATGCCTGAGTGGGATGCACATCACATGACACCAAGGGCGGCAAAAGCTTTCGGCTCCGTTCCTCCTTTGGGACAGTGCAGGCGGAGGAAAGCGGATTACATAAAGAGGCCTGCCCTTGCGCGACGGGAGCTGGGGATAGCTATTATGCGGGGGAGTAGAAAGACGTAAAGACCAGAAAAGTGATTAGTGCTTCTAGTTCGGCCTCGTTTCTTTTCCTATGAGAAGAATTGGACCAAGCACATCCTCACTCGCCGTCGCAGGGAAATACATTCCCTTAAGTCTAGCCGCACTGTAGAGCCTCGCCGTGTATCCCCGACGCTTGCAATTAGCCTTTGCCTGATTGGTTCTGAGGTGCTGAGTCAGCCAATTGCCGGCCGTCAGACCCGAGGTTACCTTCCGATTCCAAAGGCGACAAAACATCGCCAGCATCGATCGACTTCGACTTCAATCCACCTCGTGCCTCTCTTGGTCGTTGCCTTGTCATTGCCGCTGGCTGGCTGCCTTTCCACGGACCTCTCTCCTCTCCGCTTCGCAATATCCAGTTGACGTCTCGCCGTCTATTTCTCCTTTCGCCTCAGTGCCTTCAGGGTCTATCCCATTTTTCGTCTCCCTCCTATCCTCCATCCCTCCGGATTGAAATCGAAAGATCGCCCACCATGTCTGCTCTCCGCTCGACTTCGCGCCTTTTCGCGGCTTCCAAGCCCCTCTTCCGCCCAGCTGTCTTCGCCCGCTCTTATGCGACCGTTGACCCCGTGGCCCAGGTGAGCGCAACCGGCCATGCCACTACCAGCGTCACCCCCGAGTCTAAGACGTCGACCGTGCAGGAACCCACCCCCTCCGAGCAGCCTCGCATCAAGAAGTTCCAGGTCTACCGCTGGAACCCCGACACCCCCTCCGAGAAGCCCCAGATGCAGACCTATGAGTTGGATTTGAACAAGACCGGTCCCATGATGCTCGATGCGCTCATCCGTATCAAGAACGAGATCGACCCCACCCTGACTTTCCGGAGAAGTTGCAGAGAGGGTATCTGCGGTAGCTGTGCGATGAACATCGATGGTGTCAACACTCTCGCTTGCTTGTGTAGGTTCTGACGCTTTTCGCGACCGCAATTGCGTGGATATGAGTCGCTGACTGTTCATATACAGGCCGCATTCCCACGGACACTGCCAAGGATTCTCGCATCTACCCGTTGCCTCACACCTACGTCGTCAAGGACTTGGTCCCCGATTTGACCTACTTCTACAAGCAATACAAGTCCATCAAGCCCTACCTTCAGCGTGATACTCCTACCGAGGATGTAAGTACTCGTCGCATCGAAAGGGGCGAACCGGTACTAACGTGGTGAACGCAGGGTCTCGAGTACCGCCAAAGCCCGGAGGAGCGTAAGAAGCTTGACGGTCTCTACGAATGTATTCTGTGCGCCTGCTGCTCGACCTCTTGCCCCTCTTACTGGTGGAACAGCGAGGAGTACCTCGGTCCCGCCATCCTGATGCAGTCCTACCGTTGGATGGCCGATTCCCGTGACGAGAAGACCGCTGAGCGTAAGGCCGCCTTGGACAACAGCATGAGCGTCTACCGTTGCCACACTATCCTTAACTGCTCTCGGACTTGTCCCAAGGGTCTGAACCCTGCTCGGGCAATTGCCGAGATCAAGAAGATGATGGCTGCTCACTAGGAAAGCGACCAAGAACAAAAGAAAAGAACTGCTTGATTTCTTCTTTCCCTTTCTGTCCTAAGTCGTGTGTTATTTCAATTCCTTCCTCTCTTCATCTCTTTCTTCCAGTTCCTTTTCGCTCGCGCTCTATTCCCTCCGTTTTCGAGGTCTCATGTCGGATGTTTCAATAGGTGTAAATTGTGAATGTTGATTTTCTTAGCCGCGGTGGTCAGTTCTACCAATGGAATTTCATATATATATTCTGCATTATGCATTGACATATTTTTGAAATCTTTTCGAAATCTGGGGGGATTATGGCAGCAAAATAAAGGGCGCGGCTGTACTGACTTGGGCAGACACCGATATGTACGCCTTGCAGAAGACGGCAACCGCACAGTGAGATCTATACATATATCAAGGCCAACCGCGCAGATGACGCCCTCGAAAGGGTATAGGATAAATACCACATGACACATGAGTTTGCTCACCCGAAAACTCATTGGAAACTCCTGAAATTGGCTGCGGGGCTGACACGATGGAGTCGATCCATCTTTCAACCGCACGGCGATCCCGGAGTTCGCGCAAACAACCCGGATCCAGCTGTACGGCATCTTTCCCCTTCCCAGCAGTACCTCTTTGTCAGGGAATGGTCGGGGTTTAACGATTAATGAGATGATTTCTGTTTTCACGGCCAAGACTGATCAGCACTTCAGATCACACGCCGGCAAGAACCTTTACGGCAGCGACTAGGATGATCAATTGTGTAGCCTACCGACTACGAATCCTCTTGACAAGGCACCAGGCCATCCGGAGAATTGCATGATTTGGTTCAAGGTCAAATTGGTAGTTGCAAACTGCTATAAAGTCAGGGGGCCCAATTTCCTAACTGAAGTCAAATGCCAGGCATCAAACATCCTTCACCACTTCATTGGCATGAGAAAACGAATATGAAATATTGCTTCCGCTGCCAGGAACATCGTTCAACTGCACCATGCCTTGTTTGAAAGACCTCGAAGAAATTGAGACGGGCTCATTTGCGAAAAGAGCACTGGCTTGCACCCCGCTTGTGGCATGCTACGCCTATGCCAATGTCTCGATGGATTCTGTGCTCGCAGGACTCCGTCCTTTAATGGGATCGCTCCTTCAGTCCGGCAGCTGGACTGCGAGCAGTGGAGATGTTCTGAGGCTGGCCGAGCCTCTTTACAACGTCCCGTTGTTGGATAAGACTTTTGGACCACTAGTGAATTGTTTCCTACCATCTATCAGTGGCTCCGATGTTTTGTCACACGCGCAGATGCTGTCTTTTATGGCGAACCTGGGTCCGATATACGGTATTTGGCTTCTAGAAAGCGGCCGAAGAGCCCACTCTTGGGTGGAGATATTTTTGTGAGTAGCCTGAGATCAGCCCGATACAGAACCCACTGATCATCTGAACTTACAGTCCGATCACCATGGGAGCAGCATTCCAACTGAGAGGGATTGGGAAGATTGCTCCAATTTACTACATAATCGAGCACCTACGAACACCCTTGAGCAAGCTTGTTCACTGTCGCCATGAGGTCAGATCAGATATGCTAACGACCTTCCTGTCTACTATGCTCACGGCATACTACATCCCGACACTCGGGAATTTTCTTCCTCGGGAATTACAGAACCGCCGGTACTTCAATGCTATCTGGCAGCTATTCCCGGCGGTAGTTCCACTTCTCCAAGCTCCGTTCCGTCTTTTGGACAAGATGGCCTCCGATTCAGTCGAGGGGTTATCCAAAGAACAAGAAGCCATCGAGGCCCGGCGTAACTCGAGAAAGACCCTGCGGTATATTCGTGGCATTTATCTGTCCTTTGCGGTCATCTCAGGACTAAGTTATACGTATGCTCGCCGTTCCATTCCAGCAGACTCATCCATGACCAGTGTCCTTCTGCCTGGCCTGTGGGATTATACATTGCCTGTCGGCAGCTTTGCAGAGGGCATTGCACGGTTCTTGAAATATGACGAGAGCCTCGCCATGGCAAGTGGATTCGTCTGGCTGGGGTTGAAGTATCGGGAGCTGAAACGGCACGGATACCCGTTGTCGTGGTGGAAGGTGATTCTGGGGATGGCGGCCACGACGGCGGCGTTTGGGCCGGGGGCTGCGATGTCGCTGGGCTGGGGACTGCGGGAGGAGATGCTGGCGAAGATGGCTGCATAGGTTCGCGGTTTGGTGCCTCTTCCTACTACACTAACAAGCTGTATGTCAGCCTTGGTCCGTTGGCTTTTTTGTTATCGATGCGTGAGTAGGTTTTGTATGGCTTATGCTTAATGTCTAAAACAGAGGCCATAAATGGACTCTTTAAGAGACCCAACCTTGGCAGTTCGGTCTTGTCGGTCCAGTATCGGAGAGGTATCGGCAAGATAGTCAAGCCCCGAAGTCGCACACATGCCCTTTTGATGTCATCCCCGCATTATCTGATCGGCTCATCTCCGACCCCTCCTCGGACTTCGCTGCGACATCAACTCTCTTATAGTTAAAAGTCGCAACGCAACGCATCGCATCATACCATATTACACAACTGAAGTCTGAGTTCTCTGCGCTCTTTTGTTTTTCACCTCCGCTTCACCCAAAATGTCCAAACCAGCCATCGGGTTCGTCGGCCTCGGCGCCATGGGCTTCGGCATGGCCACGCACCTGGTCCACGAAGGCTACCCCGTGCATGGCTACGACGTCTTCCCGGCCTCGATCGACCGATTCCAAGCCGCAGGGGGCATCCCCGCCGCCTCGCTGCGCGCCTCCGCCGAAGACAAATCCGTCTACGTGTGCATGGTGGCCTCCGCGCCGCAAGTCCAGAGCGTGCTCTTCGGAGACGAGGGCATTGTGCAGGGTATGTACTTCCCCCCTTTCCCTTCCCACTATCCCCTCCCAACCTACACACCCTCAATCCCTGGCCTCAAAAGGCTAGCTACGCCCTAATCTAACACGACCAAAAAAAAAAAAAAAAGCCCTCCCGCCAAACGCAACCCTGATCCTAATGTCCACCATCCCGGCCACAACCGCCCAAACCCTCGCGCAAACCATCCACACCACCCGCCCCGATATTTGGGTAGTGGACGCCCCGGTCTCGGGCGGCGCCCTGCGCGCCGCAGCCGGCACGCTCTCCATAATGGCCGGCGGCGACCCCGCCGCGCTGGAGGCGGCCACCCCCGTCCTGGAGGCGCTCAGCGCCCCCCGCAAGCTCTACCTGGTGCCCGGCGGCATCGGCGCGGGCAGTAACATGAAGATGGTGCATCAGGTGCTGGCAGCGATCCATATCCTGGGTGCGAGCGAGGCGCAGGGGCTGGCGGCTGTGTTGGGGTTGGATGCGGCGCACACGGCGGAGCGGATTGTTTCGGGGGATGCGTGGACGTGGATGCATGAGAATCGGTCGCCCAGGATTTTGGGGGGGGAGGGGGTCTGGAGTCCCGGTGTTAGTGCTGTGACGATTATTTTGAAGGATGCGGTATGTTCATGTTTTCCCCTGCTTTGGTCTCTGGTGGGGTGGTTGTGGTTGTGGGGGCAGGGGTTAGGCTGATATAGGTTGTTGGTTGCTGATTGCTGGGTAGGGCATTATCACGACTTCGGCAAGAGAACAGCACTTCCCGACGCCGCTCTGTGCTACGGCGGAGCAGATCTATCTCGCGGCGCTGCTGCAGGGGGACGGGGCCAAGGATGATGCGGCGCTGGTGAGGCAGTATTTTGCGGGACCCGTGGCGGAGGTTGACGGGTCTGCGTTGAGCGCGGAGGAGCAGGAGGAGCGGACGCGACTGGTGCTTGATCTGATGGCCGCGGTGAATCTGGTGGCGGCGGCGGAGGCGATCGCGTTTGCAAGGTTTCTGGGCGTGGATTTGGCGCAGTTCTATGAGCTGGTGAGCGATGCGGCGGGCGGGAGTAAGATGTTTATCACTCGGGGGTGGGAGATGATTGCGGGGCGGGTGGGCGAGAAGGCGCCGGCAGGGGCGGAGACGGTGGATGCGCTCGTGCAACGGTTGGAGAGCGTCGTGCAGAGGGCGAGGGACTTGCATTGTCCGTTGCATCTGGGGAATGCGGCGCTGGCGGTGTTGTTAATGGCGAAGAGGGCTGGGCTGGGGGCGTCGAGTAGTACCAGTGTCGTGGATTTGTATGAAGGCGGAGGTTGGAGGGGGAAGCTGTGATTATTGATTAGGTAGTTAGTCATAAGCCGAAGACGTGAACCGTTTCGGTCTCTATCAGAATAGACTTCTTGGATATCATGGCCCTCGATGATGTTACAGTATGAGTGGGTAATTGAACGTAAGGTATCGGTTCCTGCATTGGATATTACCATCTATACTCTATGGTTGCACATACAGTCTACCTATACCCCTCGCAGTAAACAAATGACATCAGATCGGAGCAACTCCGGCCTCGGAGCCCCCCTCCGCGGGGAAAGTCAGATCACACAGTAAACAGAGAGGAAGGTGAAGTATACTCCGACACTCAACCCATACACCTACACTTCCCCTCCCCTATATATAAATCATGACAAAACCTCACAAACACCGCTCATTCCCACTCATCAACACCTCCAACTCCATCCATCCCGCCGTCTCCCCAACCTAACACCAAAATGCCTTCTCTAACCGACAACCGCGCCATCCCCCTCCTCGACCACGCCGCCGCCAACCACTACGGCATCCCGGCAATGTGCTGCTACAACCTCGAGGGCATCCTGGCGACCGTGCGCGCCGCCGAAGCCAAACGCTCACCCGCCATGATCCTACTCTTCCCGTGGGCGATCGACTACGCAGGGGCGATCCTCGTGCACGCGGCGGCGGAGGCGGCGCGGGACGCCTCGGTCCCGGTGACGGTGCACCTGGACCACGCGCAGTCGCCAGCGATCATCCGACGGGCAGCGGACATGGGCGGGTTCGACAGCATCATGATCGACATGTCGCACTACTCGAAGGCGGAGAACCTGGCGCTGACGCGCGAGCTGGTGGCGTACTGCCACGAACGCGGGATTGCCACCGAGGCCGAGCCGGGCCGCATCGAGGGCGGCGAGGACGGGGTCTCCGACACGGCCGACCTGGAAGGTCTGTTGACGACCCCCGAGGAGAGTCTGGAGTTCGTGGACACGGGCATCGATTGGCTGGCGCCCGCGTTCGGCAACGTGCATGGCAGCTATGGGCCGCGCGGCATCGTGCTGGAGTACGATCGTCTGCAGAAGATTCAGGAGACGGTGCAGCCCCACGGTACGCGGTTGGTGCTGCATGGTGCGGATCCCTTCTCGGAGGAGATCTTTCGGAGGTGTATTGGGTGTGGGGTTAGTAAGGTTAATATCAATAAGGTGTTGAATAACGAGTATGTCCGGGTGCAGGCGGAGAAGGCTGGCAGGGCGCCCTTGACGGCTGTCATTGAAGAGGCTACGGCGGAAATGCAAAAGGCGGTTGAGCGGTGTATTGACATGCTGGGGTCGGCGGGGAGGTATCCTTGATTGCCGGTGTGGTGGTGTATGGGTCCTTGTTGTGTATCTGGGGTGGGCTGTGTTGTCGCGTTGATCTGGCTTATCATCATAGACCATCAGCCGTGGGTGAATATATATTGGCGATGCAGGAGACATCCAAAGGGGCCGTGACACGGTCAAATATAGGCGCCATAATACCTCAATCAAGACATATTGAAAACCATTTGTGCTTTGGAATGGGAATCAAACAAGATCAAGGGACTTTGATATAAATATGTTGTTCTAGAAGCTCCGAATATCAAGCCAATTGGGATGTCATGGTTGCTCAGTACTTGTGTTGTTGTTTCGCCTATACTAGGTAGACTCGTCATTTTTCAAGCAAGGGCGTTAGTGGTGTAGCGGTTAGCATTGTTGCCTTCCAAGCAATAGATCGGGGTTCGACTCCCCGCTGACGCAGCATTTCTTTTTGTTTTATTTTTTCCTTGTTGCCGGAGTCTCGCGCAGCCGGATAAGGAGCTTATCAGTCCTGGTGTTGTAGAAGAGGCAGGTTTGTATGTGGATGTACCAGACCATGCAATCGTTCCTTCATAACACATCGTATCAGACCATCCCGTAAGAACACAATCACTGTGCCTGATCATCGCAAAATCAGCATCCGAATGAAACCGCCTTTTCCATTGTGGAGTGGGCAGTCGTGGTGCAGCCTCCGCTCCAACCCAACAAAGGGCAATCAACATGTCAGACGACTCCGCAAGTGATACGAAATCTCCGTCATCTCCGTCTAGATCTACATCGATCTTCATTGGCAAAGTCTGCTCGTATGTTGTAATTAGCACCCCGCGCAGACGCGCAAGGCTGACACAAGCATGGCACCCAATAGCGAAGCATCTCGTTGCCGTCGCCAGTTCCCCTGGTCAATGCAGCGCGGAGCCTCGTATTGCATCCAATGAAGTCGCCGGTATCATACGTCTGCCAATGGAACAGGTCTTGATGCCTTACACGACGTCCGATGGCTTGGACCAACAAGCCCAGCACTGCGCCCACTGTCACACGAATATTACTCCCAGCTGCTGTTGGTTCACCACAAATGCTCTGCTTGCACCTCGCACCCAGCGTTGGACCAGAGTATAAGAATAGACGGAGAACAATGGGAGCAGGCTCGCTTTCGAGGCGTCGCTCTTATGATATCTCCTAGCACATTGCCTAGTGTCGAGTCCGAGCGAGCCCAGTTCTATCCTCAGTGGTGAAATCATCGAAGTCCGCGCTCAATCAACACCCTCAAGATGACCGAGAAGCCCACCCCTGGTATGTCCACCTAGCCCGTGGGATTCTGCCCAGCTAACAGCCTCCGCTCCAGTTCCCACATACGAGAACATGCAAGAGCTCAACCAACCGAGCGTCAACCAGCCCCCTCCGGCATATGCGCAGCCTCCGATGGAAACAATTACTCCTCCACCCCAGCCCCGCGAGCCCTCGTCGCAGAACTTCTACGCGGGAACACAGACACACAACACGAGCGGTTACAATAATGCTACCCCCCTGCATGCGCTTCAGCGTGGCCCAGCGCCCGTGGACTGTCCAAGTTGTGGCAGTCGTGAGATGACGCGAGTGGTAGCGGAGGCGGGCAATACCACACAGTAAGATGCCGTGAACTTGGGGAGTCGCACGGGGGTATATACTGATCTTTGGCAGTGCATGGGCCGCGGTGACTTGCATCTGCTGCTGCCTGGGATGTATTCCCTATCTGATGTCGTCGCTCAAGGATGTGCACCACTACTGCGGAAAATGTGGTGCATTGCTGGCGACCTGGCACAATAGCGGACGGACGGATGTGCATCAACACAACTGATAGCGCTATGAGTGAAGGTGGGGTGGTTTGTGTTTAGGAATGGTTGTTGTTGGGTTTGCAGGATTGGATGTTGATATACCCTGATAAATGCCTACAGAAGCGAGACCATGTTGTTTCTGGCCTGCTTGTTTCCCTGAGATTATTGTGCTGCCCTTTGTATAGCCTGTTGCCGTGACGTGGAAATCAACTTCCTTGCTGAAGAAAGATCATGGGTGACCTGCCGAATAGGTATGTGGGTTTAAGCCCCAGACTGAGATACCCAACGTTAGGTTCAAGAATCCTGCAGCCCATGGCGTGCTGGTAATGTGAAATCATTGGCTCTTTCACTGCAAGCACTGCCGTACTTCAGGTTAAGACTAGCGGCTCGTTCGACAACACCCCGTTTTTGATTATAAATGCGCCACGCGCTCGAATATATACTCACCCACCTCACCCACTCACCCACTCACCGAGTGCCCTGGAAGGCTTAGATGATAGCTTCGACAGGCTTAACTTACAGATCGCAACATCCAGGGCAACTGACATAGCACACCTAGTTACAGTACACCATGACCTCCTCACCTCCCAAGATCAAAGCCGTCTTCTTCGACTTCATGGGCACCTGTCTCGACTGGCACAGCAGCGTGGTGCAGGCGATGCCCGCCTCCATCCCCGCGCCCGCCGCCTCGCAGCTCGCCCTCGACTGGCGCCGGCAATACTTCCTCGAAAACGAGCAGCGCGTGCGCGACAACCTGGCCCCGGAGGACATCGACCTGACCCTCCCCCGGGCGCTCCGGGTGGTTCTCGATCGAAGCCCCGAATATCAGGATGTTTTATCAGACCCAACAGCGGTAGCCCAGCTAATCCAAGCCTGGCACCGCCAGCCCGCGTGGCCCGAGGTGTCGACCGCGATCCGCCGGCTCCGCGACGAGCTCGGCCTCGAGGTGTTCGTGCACGCCAACGGCACCACGCGGCTCCAGCTGGACCTGACGCGCTCGTCCGGGCTGCGCTTCGACATGCTGTTCTCCAGCCAGCTGCTGGGGGTCTACAAGCCACGCGCGGAGGCGTATCGCCGCGGGTTGGAGCTGGTCCAGCTGCGGCCCGAGGAGGTGGTGCTGGTGGCGGCGCATGCGTATGATCTGAGGGGCGCGCAGAAGGTGGGCATGCGGACGGTCTATATCCATCGGTGGACGGATGATGTGGACGAGGATATGGGGAGCGTCAGGGGCGAGTTTGATGCGTTTTTGGAGGGGATGGAGGATTTGCCTGCAGTCATTGCGGGGTTGTGAGGGAGAGAGAGCTTGGGGTGGGCTTATCGGTCGGCGGTCGGTCTCCCGTAGGTGCTTTCTCTTTCTTGTTCACTCACTGTGCATTGGCGTGAAGCTTAAGATTTCATGCTATCGAAAGCTCAGATGAATCTGTTGATTATCATGGTTTATTGCTCTGCTGATTCAATTGTACTAGAGTATGAATTGATCGAAATGCGACCGTGGAGTGGATGACATACACCCCACTGCACTGCTCACATTATCCCGAATTCCCTGTCTAGCTATACTCAACCAACCCCATCCAATCATTCACCACTCCTCGTCTTCATCGTCATTTCGGACGGGCACGAATCGGGAGAACGACGGCACAGGGAATGGAACCACGGAAATGCAGGAGTGGTGACGCCAACGGGACGAGCGGATCCTCCACACTCTCCACATCGCTTGATGTCAGCACTCGAGAATCGTCCCTTGAACTCATTCCAAGGCGTCTCGAGACATCTCCAATATGATACGATGCGAATTTCCAGCTCTCAAGGGTGGGATATCTGACCGAGACAGCCGAAGCTACATTCGTCACGAATGCGAGGATCTTGGACACCACAGTCTGCCGTGCCCATCCGATACCCCTCATCCTTTACACGACCCAGTCATTCCATTACTGCCCGGATCGGGAGTACATGACCCTTACACCTCCCCTCATTGCTCCTGTCAGACCCCAAATAAGCTTCGTGGGTTATCCCCGGCTGCCAGACGCCAAACCCGTCCAACGTTGCATGCATGTGCTCTCCACCACGTCATTGCGATCTGGGAGTCATGACTTTTTTTCCGCTGCTCCCGATGGGTGTGGTGTGCAAGTCGCCAACGGGTCAAACGCCCTAGGTTCTTTTCCTGTCGCTCCTCCCCCTTTGTGAATACTCCATTCCTCACCTGCTCTTTGCCCTGTCTTGCTGTGGTGATTTGTTGGCGAGCTGCGGTCTTTCTCATCTGTCTGTCGTGATCCCCGTTCCTATTCACCTGTACGACGTGAGTATCTGCCTCGGAAGGTATACAGGAACATCGACCCGAGTACTAACTCTGACAGACAATGGCTGCCATCGACGCCCTCGTGTCCACCGCTGCACAACGACACCACCAGCTCATCAAGCGAAGCAATTGGGCCAGTAGAAACCCCGGCGTGATTCTGGTCTTCTGCATCGTCTTCATTGTTGCCGTCGGAATCATCGCCTTGTTAATCTACCGCCGATGGATGAAACGGAAAGCAGAGAAGCAATCCTACGATGTCGCGTGAAGCGTCCTTGTTCCGACCGCGGCGTCACCGATGGTTTAGGCAATGGGGGGGGGACGTGACTACTTCTCTACCGAGGCCGTTCTTCTATTTTATGAATTCTCTAATTTCTATTACTGCTGCTGAGTTATCCACCAAGGATACCCGTCTTGTTATGTCGGGTGGTCAGTGAGGGGGTAGTTGAGGCTGTGTCGTCGAGAGATGGAACCCTGGAGGGCTGGGTTGTATGGAGAAGGGGGATTAGATGGGCGATGATGTGCAAGCGATATTCTTCTATTTATGTGGGCAGAAGAATGATCTAAACTATACGTGTCAAGTGTCAAGGAAATATACGATCTAACTAATGGATGAACTGTGATCAAATGCAGTGGGGAAATAGGCTGAGAGATAGGCTGTGTCAGTATAGCCACAATATCTGTCGAAAGGAGCCGCAAGGAGCCACTTCTTTCATTCTGTCACATCTTAAGGCACACTTTGGACTGCAACTGCGGGATGAAAGTTTCAAGCAGCATGCCACACTCAATCGAATCGGACAGGCCGATGATGTCTGTCTGTCTGTCTGTCTGCCTGCATGCGGTGCCAAAGTGATTCGTGCCAGCACCGGTCTGGAACTCGTACTCGCTTGGGGCCCATCCAGCTCAGCCTTATTATATTCCCCACCATTGAGTCAAGCCCTTTAACTATGAGCCTGAGCCTGAGCCTCAGCTCAACTCACCATTCAAATTGGCAATGCGTGAGCAGTGGAGTGCAAGCGTGGTCAAGATGTCGCTCACAACCTGGATTGTCGCCGTGTCGACAAGCACCTTTGCCTACTTGTACCTGCTGCATCGATCTCTCAAAAATGGCCTGGAGCACGAGCACTTTCGAGGCCCGCTGTCTAACCTTTCGAATTCTCCTTCATCCCTCAACTTCAACTCCATGACCACGATCCCGCCCGACATCTCCAAGGCTAGTCACGACTGTCTATACGAGAAGGTCACTCGTCGCGTGCCCCGCCAGCTGCTCCCCACCACCCACCAACCCTCCGACCTGCTCAACATCCTCCTCCGCCGCAACATGGCGGCCTTCGCCTACTTCCCCCAAGCCTACATGCTCTGGATCCTTAGCGGCTCGGGATCCCGCGCGACCTTCAAGCCGTCCCGCATCCGCAGCCTGGACTTCCAGCGCGGTGATATTATCTGCGGCATCTATCGCGTGGCCGAGCGTCGCCCGACCAGCGTCGAGTTCGAGATCTGTTCCCCCCACGGCGGCGGCGAGGTCGAGGGCCGGCTGCTGCTGCGGTTCTGGGACGAAGCCAAGGAGGTGGTCTTCGCCAGCGAGTGTGTGCTGTGGATCACCACGGCGGACGGATCGTCGCTGCAGGAGAAAATGCCTTTGAGGAATCCCGTCTGGCGGTTCTTTCACGAGCTGGCCTCCTGGTGGCTGCTGGACTCCGGGGTGCGATACCTGATCGACCTGTCAATGGACGAGGAGTGACGGGCGGGCTTGACGGGAGGTGGTTTTTTTTCTTTATGCTTCCCCTTTCACTTACACACCCACCGCATTGTGAAGCCCGCCCTTTCCTTGTTCCCTTTTTGAGAGCGCATAAAGAAGGGCGGGCTCCGGTTGATGGTGATATTCAGAATGCCTTTCTTTGACCAAAGGTGCCTGTGAAAGAGAGAATCGCATTGTCTACGTGGCTGCCACTTTCCACCATTCATGGAATATAAATAATGGGCTTGTGCTCGCTGTGAACCGTGATGCTCACTTTTCTACAGTTCCAAACTTGTTGGAAATTGCTGGAAAGTGAAATCTGACATCTTTGCGCATTTGCAACGACCTAACCATTGCAGCTTTGATCTTGCACTCAACACAACCGTCTCACTATTTTATCTCGTGTCAACACAACAAGCAGTGCTAGTCGCCATGTGTTTCCACAAATATTCTCACTACCAGGTCTGCAAGCACCTCGCATGCTGGAGCATCGACATCTGCCAGGAGATGGTCAATAGCTTGCGCGCTGGCGATTGCATCGGCCACGAATTCGAGAACTCATACGACCCCGTGAAGGGAGACCTCTGGGGGATGTGCGCGGACTGCGCGGAGGCTGGCGCTGCTGATCAGCGCCCCTCTGGCTCCTGCGCCGTTCACCCCCAAGTGCAGGCTATCCCGCTTCTCAAGGAGTATGTGGAGGAGTACGTGGCGCGTGCTTCGGCCGCCAACTGCTCCGGTCTGTCAATCGGCGTCCCATCATCCATGGAAGCGACCAGCCTCGCGGATAGCGCATCAGTGAAGCCAGCAGGAACCCAGAGATCGACTCAGTCGGGATCTTTCCGAAGTTTCCACTCGGCGCGCTCGGCTTTTAGTAGCGAAGAGAGCGACGACGGATACCACCCCGATGCCGAGCCGGGTTTCGACTGCTACAGCAGCAGCGAGAGTAGTAGCACCATGGACGAGGATGACGAGGACGATTGCATTGTTATATCTCAGCTGTCGGACGAGTCGTTGCTGGCCCAGCCGCTCCTGCCCAAGGTCGCCAGACATACGACCAGTGGTACCAGTGGTTCCGATGGTTCCAGTACCTCGAGCTACCCCGGCTTCAGCCAGACAAAGTCATCGACTGAAACTCTCTTCGAATCGATCTTCCGGGGCGAGAATGAGCGGCTCGCCGATGACAAGCTTGAGACCCTGAACCAGTCCAACGTTGGGCGAGATTTCCTGGAAAGAAAGCTACCAGCCCCGAGCCAGACCAACCTGGGAGCACCGGCTCTGAACAGGGTTCTTACCGTGACTCCGTCGCCAGGCTTCAGGGAAGACCTGCCGCGCCAGAATGCGGCCACCCCGGTGGACTTTTTGGCCTCGGATGGATTCGTCGGGACCGGCAGCGGCTTCAGTCCTCCCAAGGAGAGCCGGCTCTACCCAGCTGTGACCGGCACGGGCTCCAGCTCTGGCATTGCCGCCCCAGCGCCGACCCCGGCGCCGGGTAGTCCGCAGGCCCAGAGCATTCCCACGGCACCCCGGGCCTTCTACAACAGACCCCAAGGGACGACGGGCCCTGCCCCGGACTGGAACGGCCATCAGCCTGGCTACCCACATCCCAGCAGCGGAATCTCCATCCAACCCACCTTCGAGAATTCTGGAGTGCCTTCTCTCACCATAACCGCCCAGCTCGAAGACTTCTCCCAGCCAGGCTTCGCCCCCTACTTCCCACCCCCAATGGGGATGGGCATGCACAGCCAGGCCCCAAATCCCGGCCTTCTGCCTCCCACTTCCCACCTCATCACACCTCAATACCCGCCCGTGATCCAACCTCAGTACGGGAACTTCCCTCCCCAGCTGCAGCCCCAGGTCCCGGGTTTCCGGCCCCAACAACAGCCTTCCCAAACCTTCACGGGCCCATCCTTCACCGGCTACCGCGAGCACAACAACAACCGCATCGCCCGCCACGAGCGGCGCCGGCCGGCCCGCCGCGGAGGGGGCAGAGCGTCCCACGACCGACGCAACAATAGCCCCTCCTCGCGCGCTCGCCGCATCTTCAATAACCAGCAGCAGAAGCAGCACCAGCACCAGCAACTGCGCTGGACGCAGCCGGAGGAGGTCGCCGCGCGTCACCGGCGCATCCAGGAAGCGATCCACCAGCAAAAGCAGCAGGCCGTCATGCAACAGGTCCAAGAACAAGAGTTCCAGAACCTGCAGCAGCAACAGGCCCTCCAGCAGCAGCTCCAGCGGTTGCAGGAGCAGGAGCAGGAGCAGAAGCAGGAGCAGCAGTCCGCCGCCACAGCAGCAACGGCTCGCCAATCCCAAAGCTCGGGGCTGGGTCTGGGGCAAGAGCTAGAGCCACGGCCCATCAATCCTCCTCCCGCCCCCACCGTGCAGACCGCCATCCTCGAACGGGCCCCGTATAGCCCTTCCCCCGGGGAGACAATCAGCCCCTCGGCGCTGGCTGGGTACCCGATGGATGTGGACCAGCGCAAGCCTCCTCCTTCTGCTGCTACTGCTGCTGCTGCTTCCGCCCAAGAAGGAGGTGGGAGTTACTCGCAGGACTACTGGAATGGAAAGTTCTTTACGCGGCCTCTGGTGCCAAGGAACTGAACCCTAACTCACCCCATTGGGACTGGCTCGGGGATTTTGGTAGGGAATCGAGGTGGGGTTGAGCTTGTGGGTGAGTATGTATGTATGTGTGATGGTGGTGATGTTTTGGGTACCGTTCAGCTGGAGCACCCTTCTTTTCATGATTGATGATGACTTATTCTTTTTTTGAAGTTTGAACTTCGGGTTCGGCTTTTTGGGAATTTCTGTCTAGCTATGTTTATGTTATCTTTTATGGTATTTTAAGAATGTTAGATTTATTTTTCTTTTTTTTTTTTTTCCCTTCTTTTTTTCTTTTTTCTAAGAGGTTTTCTTGAACGTTTTCTCTTGTAGGATTGGGTTTCACTCGAACATCTACGTGGTTGTACGACTGATGTTGGGTCTATCTGTTTCGCAGCAATACTCGACTGCCTGAGACTCAGATAAAGGTCACAGGTAATGCAGACTACGCGAATTGCAACAGGTAGAGCTTACAGAATGAACTACCCTGCAGCCACATGATCTACAGCCGAAAAGAAGTATCTCACAGGCATCAGTTCATTTATTCATGCTCGTAACCATAATCATAATAACAGTTAGTAGCCAATACCCTTCCATCCAAGACATAATATCAGGTAAACGCCCTAAAACCATGTTCCTTGATCTTAAAAATCCAGTCAAACTTCGCAAACCAGCATTGCTTTTGCCCAAGTAATCTTTGATGAAAGGATCACGACCAGGCAGCGCGACACATAGGACAACTCGGCTTCCGGCCCATCTGTGATGCCGTCTTCTTCCACGTGAACAGGCAACTGAAGTGGAAGTTTGTGCCGCACTGCTGCTTGCAGTAGACGATTGACAGGTCTCGGGCTGCTTGACGCGGGGTTGTGAAAGGAGAGTCGGGGAGGAGGGGCTCATAGCAGATGGAGCAGTCACCTGTGATGGGCTGGCGGGTCGGCGTGTAGGCGGGTTCTGATACGAGTGGAGAAGGGGCTGAGACGGCTGATGTTGTTGATGAGATTGATGAGGAGGAGGACCGGGGAGGTTGCAAGACGACGGCAGGAGATGAAGTGTCAGGCTGAGATGTGGCTGTGGTTGGTTCGGGAGTAGCGTTTGCGGTTGCGGTTGCTGTTTGGGCTGGGACTGTAGGAGCAGTTGTTGGGGCAGATGTCGGACTAGACGTAGAGGACGCACGAGCACTCGCTGTAGTAGTCGATGTAGAAGCTAGAGTTGTAGGAGCCGAGGTTGAAGCAGCAGGCGTAGCAGTCGTCGAGGCTGTCCTGGGACGCGCAGGAACACCTGTGGGACCTGAAGCTGATGCCTCTGGCTCAACATTGCTGACAGAAACTCTTGGAGAAGAGGTAGAAGTTGTGGGGGAAGCAGTAATTGTGGAGCTGGAAGTCGAAACTGTGATAGTCCTGGTCGACGTAACGCTTGTGGTGGTTGTGGTGGCAGCAGAGGTAGTGATAGTGGTGTCCGAGCGTGAAGCGTGAGCGCTACGGTGAGTTATATGGCGAGATGACAGAGCTAATCCCCGCGGCGAAGGAGCTGGCCCGCGAGAGAAAGCCGTTTCGGTATGTCCAGAGCCAGAGGTGGTAGCACGATTTGGACTTGCTCTGGCGCTTGTAGGTGAGGTGATGGAAGTTGTAATGGACGTAGAAGCCGAAGTAGAAGCCGACATCGAAGTAGTCGCTGAAGCGCGAGAGCTGGAAGCTGGAGCAACAGTAGCACGGGGGTTGACCATTGGGGTGGGGATAGTGGGTGAAGAGTTTGAAGTTGAAAGAGATAGAGGTGAAGGCCGTGATGGCAAAGAGCCTGAAGGCTGAGAGCCTGACGGTGAGGATGAGGTAGAAGCACGAAGGTTCGGTGCAGGAGCAGTGAATGACCCAGGCTGCTCCATGATCGACACTGCATGCTGTGAAGAGGTTGTGATGATACTGCCAGACACTCCGGCCGATGACACCCTCGCCCTACGAGTAGTGCAGTCATTTGAGCTGGACGGCCGAGCCCGCCGATCGACCTTGACCTTGCTGGAATTCGAAGCCTCCACAGTAGATTGGAGGGACAAATTCTCATGCCAGCTAGGCTGAAGTCTTGAAGACAATGAGGATCTATTCAATCTCCTCAACATCTCAACCTCGTCTGTCTCTCTGCAAAGGCCCAAATGCTTGACCTTTTGTCGAGCACCAATAGCCTCCACGTTGTCTAGATCCTCACTGACGCTCCGGATTCGATCCTGCCACTTCTTGACAAGCGCCGGGACCTGACTCCTCTGATCTTTCTGATGAACATGGCGACAGAGAACAAGCGACGCCAGATCCACCAGGAGATCGTCGATGTCTTCGCCCTGTCTCATTCTTCCACTGCCTTCATCGAGTAGACGCACGGCCGAAACTCGGTTTGCGCCACTTATGGGGTTGTGACAGCGTCGACCCTTTGAAGGCGCATACCCCGCACACCATCTCTCTTCATCGGGATAAAGGTCCAGGATCTCCGAAAGATGATCTGCCTTTGTTGGATACCGAGACATCTCGAGTGGGGAATTGCTGTTAGGTGTTGCGGTTAGTGCTGGTGGGAAGTTGAGATACCGACCCACGACACGATGACGAGCTTATATATCCGCTGAACCCATGATTCAGCGACTCCTGGCACCTCGAGCACCCCCTCATCCTCCCCAAGGTTGTGTGGCTGTTCAGTGACGATGGGGCTGAGCATGAGCCACCCCTGCACGTTTCTAGACAACGGGCCGCCAAGGGTGTTTCGCTTGATAGCTTGAACGGCTAGTCATGTAGCCGGGAAGCTAGTAATGACGGAGCCAGCGCCGGTGCTCCTCCCCAGTCGACTAATGCATGTTGACTGCGGTAGCGACAACAAGTGTATGATCTGGTCTCAAAATAGCACGCGGATGAGGGGTTAGGGGTTGTGGCTGGTCCGGGTTGTTCCTGGTTGAATGGCATGTAGTGGAGGCGGTGCACAGTAGGGAGCCGATGGATAGACTGATAAGTTCAAGTTACTACTACTACTACTACTACTACTACTACTACTACTACTACTACTACTACTACTACTACTACTACTACTTACTTCCCCAAAGAGGAAATCAAGCATGCCTGCAGAGCCATGTGATGCCTGAGGTGTTAAGACTTGACTAAGCAGTCACACCCCGCAAAATGAGGTCATCCTGCCAGTCAAGTCGATCGACTCCACCTTATCTTTATTTCTCCACATGGACTGTATGTAAATCCCCTTCCATCTTTCCACCTTTACCTTCCTTATACTCCACACTCACAACCATACCATGCCCCTCGCCCTTCTCATCACCGGAGCCACCGGCAACCAAGGCAGCGCCGTGATCAACGCGCTTCTCGCCCAGGAACTCGATGTGGAGATCCTCGCCGTGACCCGCAACCCGCACTCCAGCGCCGCCCGCCGCCTCACCCAGCGATCCCCCAGAATCAAGCTCATCCAGGGGGACCTTGACCACCCGGCGCAGATCTTCGAGAAGGCAAAGAACGCCGCGACGTTGCCGATCTCCGGGGTGTTTAGCGTGCAGGTTAGCCCCAGCCCTGCCCGTCACCTCTCAGCATTCCCCTTCCCCAGACTTCCCCCACCCCCACAATTGTCGCTCCATCTAAGACACTGTACCATCTGTACAGTACCCGTATATACTAATCAGAGAATAGAACCCCTTCGCCTCCGGCCAAAGCGTCCACAAAGAAGAACAGCAAGGCAAAGCTCTAATCGACGCAGCCCTAGCCCACCAAATCCCGCACTTCGTGTACAGCTCCGTCGACCGCGGCGGCGACGCCTCTAGCGACAACCCAACCACCATCCCGCACTTCATCAGCAAGCACCGCATCGAGCAGCACCTGTTCACGCGGACCCGCGAAGCCGAAGGCGGTTCCGGCGGTAGCAACAACAACAACAACAGCAGCAGCAGCAGCACCACCACCACCACCCCCACCCCCACCACCGCCATGACCTGGACAATCCTGCGCCCGACCTTCTTCTTCGAGAACCTGGCGCCTTCCACGGGCTTCGCGGGGAAAGTGACCGCGACGGCGTGGGACGCCTACCTGCAGGGGAAGCCGCTGCAGTGCGTGTCCGTGGCGGACGTGGGCTACTTCGCGGCGATGGCGCTGGTGCGCGCGGGCGCGGACGCGGCCCCGTTCCGGAACCAGTGCCTATCGCTGGCGGGTGACGATCTGACCTACGAGCACCTGCAGCGGACGGTGCGCGCAAAAACCGGCGGGCGCCCGCTGCCGACCACCTACCGCGTGCTGTGCTACCTGGTGCTTTGGGTGCTGGGCGATCCCCGGACGATGTTCACATGGTTCTATGAGCAAGGGTACGGGGCGGATATCCCGCGGTTGCGGAAGTTGTATCCCGGGTTGAAGAATTTGGAGGGGTGGTTGGAGGAGAGTGAGTGGGTGAAGAAGCGTTAGTTTCAAGAAAAGGTTGGGGGGGGAAAGGTGTGTCTACATGTCTACAGAAGGAGGAAAAAGTTGGCTCTTGAGGTTGGGCCCGGGGACGGTGTATGATATCCAATTTGATTGTTTGTGACTCTTTTGATATGTACTCTACTGTACACTGCTTGTCTACACTGTAGTATCTCGCAGAAACAAAACGCACTACCTCATAAGAATCTTCAAAACCATAGCCTTACATACATACTACCAGGCTAAGTACAAGGCAACGGCAACCAAGACCGTTTCCTCGACTCCTTCACTCGATGCTGCTGCTGCGGCTGCTGCTGCGGCTGCTGCCCCTTATCCTCCCCAGCTAACCCCTTCCTCTCTTCCCCTAGCACCAAAGAACCCCTGCCCACCAACTCCCGCACCGCCATTTGCGCCCCAAGCACACTATACTCCATCGCCGCAACCCCGGTCTCCCCTTCAATCTCCACAAACTGGCCAATGAGCCCCAAATTCCGGATCGCGGGAGGAATCACGCGCGGTCGATTGCCCTCGCCGCGCGGCAGCAAGCCCGCCGCCATCCGCGGCACGACGCAGGGGATCGTGAGGGCGCCCTGCAGGATCCGATCCGCCTCGGCCTCCTTGACCTCCAACTGCGCCAGCACCTCCCGCAGGATCTCTTCCCCAGTGCACTCCAGCATCGGCTTGCGCACGATCTCCCCGGTTCGCTCGGGGTACAGCGCGTACCCCCAGAGCACCTGCACCTCGGCTGGTTGGTCCGGGAAGACCGGCTGCGCGGGCACGTGCAGACTGACTACCCAGGGGGCATCGATCAGGGAGACGAACATCCCGCTGCCGCTTTGGGGTGATGATGATGATGATGATGACCTTTCGGAGGTATTGTTGTTCGTGCCTGTGATGCGTTCGAGGATGCGATTGCCGCCCGCCGCGCGCAGGGTGATCGTGAAGGACTCCAGGCGGGATTCCTCGAGGCGCGTGCAGAAGTTGTAGGCATTCCCCAACCGGCGCGGGTCCTTGGTCGTCAGCTCCAGCCATAGCAGCCAGTTCTCGTCGAGCTCGTGGTCGGCTTCCATCTGGTACAGCGGCGGGGCGGTCGTGTTGCTGCCTAGGCTGGAGCCGGACATGGCGCTGCCCAGGGACACGAGGACGATGTCGTGCGGCTGGACGGGGATGGTCTGCTCGGGCCCGTTGAGGGGATGGGCGATGATGGCAGAGACGAGGCGCGGGGGGTAGGGCGGTTCTGTGGACGCTGGGAGGTGCGACTGGGATTTCTGGCTGTCATTGGAGTTTTGGCGGCTGCTGCGTTTGCGCTGCCTGGTGCTTGGGGTCGAGTGGACGCTGGCGGACGCGGACCCGGAGTTGGATGCGGCGGCTGATGGAGGTTCCGGGCCGGCGGTGGCGTCGTCGGCGAAGATGATGTCTGTGACGGTGGTCTGGAACTGGAAGTCGACCCCTTGGCGACGCAGGAAGCGGGCAATCGGGGCAACGAGCGACTCGTGGCGGTTGTATTGGCCGCCGTCCAGGGGGCGGGGGTGCGAGCTGGTAATGCTCGCGATGTCGTGGCCGAATTTGTGCAGGGTGCGGTGGAATTCGGCGGCGCTGTGGCAGGATTTGAAGCCGAAGCTGATGGGTAATCGTCAGCGTTGCTCACAACCGAGCAGGAAACTCGATAACGCATGAAACATGCCCAGGAACCACATGTAGGGATAAACATACGTAGTACTCAACACCCCCCAGTAAGATCCACCAAAGAATCCCTTCCCAAAGTGATCTTGAATGCGCGATCTCCCCAACGCGACCTCAGTCTTATTCATGTACCGAAACACTTCCACTCGATCCCGCAGACCGAGATTAGTACTTCGCTTGTAGTCGATCCGGACGAGGCCGTGCTTCGACCGTCGGATGAGTCGCGTCTGGTGACACTGAGAGTGCTGGTGCTGCTGGTGCTGCGGATGTTGTGTCGACTCCTCTCCCAGCCGTCCACCATGCTGCTGCTGTTGCTGATAGCCTGCCGTCGCCGCCGGTAAGCCCCAGTACTCGTACAGGTCATCCAACACGCTCTTCCCCGGATTCACATCTGATGGAACCTCAGCGAACAGGGTCGCCATCGCATCCCCATTCAGCAATGGCATCCCGCCTGCCCGGTAGTGATATCCTTCCTCTGCGTTGCCTGAGCTGACGGTCCCGCCGCCGGCTTGGTCGAGGGTCTCGAGAATGTGGATGTGCGATGCCGGGAGGTGGCCTTCTTGCAGGAGGTGGACGGCGGCGGAGAGGGAGGTGATCCCTGCGCCGAGGATGTAGGCGTGGATTTCGGGATGCGTGGCATCTGGAGTCTCTAGCGGAAGGCGCATGGTGAGGGTGATGGCCGGATGCAGAGGCGGGTTGTGATGAATGGGAAAGAATGGACTTGCGAAGGGGACATGCGAGTAGCAAGCAGGTCTTTTGGGCCGGTGGCGCGCTGGGTTCGGGGATGTCGGTGTGATGTCAGGATGGTGGTGGTTGACACTGTACCCTGACAGTGCTGCGAACCATGGATCGCATGCGATTGGGTCCCTTTGACGAAATGATGAGCGTTTCAGTCGTTGTTGCTTGGGTAGGGCTGACCTCGGCCCCCAGGTTGATCGACAAGCATTTATGGGGTTTTACTTACTGCTGAAATTCAGCGGAGGAGATAATTTCTAGAGGTGGTCAGTACCTATGTTGTGGTAGGTTGGATTTAAAATCCGATCCAGTCAATATAATATGGTACGATATCTCCCCCTCTACATAGTTAGGCGACAGACAATTGACGTCATACTCCTTCCAGACTCCGCATCACCGCCATCGACACCACTGCATTTCCCATGATCACATCGTGCAGCCCTGTCTTCAGAATCTCCTCTCGTATTACCCCTTGGGTTGATCGCCACTCCTTGATCGTCCCTGAAGCGCCAAGATCCACTTTCATATCCGCTTCCTCCACCCCGTCTCTGCCCGATGCACGCACCCCATGCGCAATCAATTCCCTGGCATGCCACCAGGGAATATCATCATCATCCTCCGCATGGATGACAGTGAGCCGATACGGCAAGCTATTTGCTTCACTCGCATGGATAAACTCCGCGATCCGTTGTCCACTGCTCCACTGGTCACGGATGAACCCTTGCAGCGCCTGGAACAACGACGGAAACCGCGCGAGCGGACTTAATATGGGAACTGTTCCGGCCACCCGGTAGGTTGACACCAAGGTCGGGACATCGACAAACGGCGCTACTAGTACGATCCCCTTGAACGCCACCGGCGGAGACTGGCGGGCGTATTGCTGGGCGACGGCCAGAGTCACGGCGGTGCCCAGAGACTGGCCGAAGAGAAGGATGCGATGCGGTGGGATGTTGGCAACGTTCATGGCCCAGTCTACGACGGCGAGAGCATCGATTATAAGACCCGACTCAGAGGGCGAGCCATTGGTAAGACCGAAGCCGCGGTAGTCGAAGGTCAGCACGTGGATGTTTTTGGCCGGGTAGCCGGCCGCGAGAGCGCGGTAGTTGGGGACGCGATACCCTGACCCGACTGTTCCCCCGGCGCCGTGGAAGTGGAGGACTAGGATGGCATCTGGGTCGGTGGAGAGGAGGTGGAACGCGTGGCGCGTCGTGGTGTTGGTGAGAACACCCGGAGTATCTTCCGACAGGAGAGCACGTTCGTTCTGGTGGTAGACGGAAAGAGGCAGGATGTGCCAGGCAAAGAGGCGGTGGCCGTCTGGTGTGGGAATGAAAAAGGGAGTGACTTGATTGTGAAGGAATCCGAATGATTCAGGGACCGTGAGGTCTTTGAACCAGGTCATCTGCACCGCATGCAGGTAAACCACATGCGCTTGGAAGCCAGGCCGAGTCAACAGTCCTAGCAGGACGGCATACAGCCCGACGGCGATGGCGGCCGATAGAGAGCCATATTTGACGACAGATAGCATAATGTCGCCTATTATCATGACGAAGTGGTGCTTAAGAGGGAGAAGGAGAAAGGGCTAGAAAGAAGCTCCCAGCAGAATGAGATTGTGATAGTGTGACGTTGTAGGCTGTGAGAGTGGGATTGAGGCTGGTTGACGGCGGATCAGCGCTTATCGCCGATACCAAAATGCGTAATCTTGAACAGTCAGTCTGCATTGAGACTCCATATTAACGACAAGCTGCAGGGATTATCTGGGCCAAGTCTTCCACGTGATCAAGTGTGTCATTCAGTGTAAGAGAAAGAACGACAAAAGATATTTCAAGAAGTTGTGGCGCACTCAATGCTTGCAGAGGACTATGCTAGGTGAATGACCTATTATTCTAGCCAACAAAACCGTCGAAACATCACCTACATTAGTGTGACAGCAGCGGTTGTTTTCAACCTATCATCTGGAGGAAAAAGCTTGCCGGCGCTGTGGAACCTGGCACTCAATCATCTCCGATGCTACCAACACATTCCAAAACCAGATTCTCATAGGCTCAAGCGACGCGTCAAGTACATACAAGGGCTACAAGAATCCTCCATGACCAATTTCAAGTAGGAATTGATCTTTTCTATATATGTTCACATGCTAATATCATTGATTCAGTACATAAAACATCAAGTCACTGCACCATATTTCCATATCCGGTTACCGACGGTGGTGGAGCTGCCGGCGGGGATGACGGGCGAGCAGCGCGCGGCGTTCGAGTATCTGGCGGTCAGCCACAGGTTCGACAACGAGGGGTTGCGCGACCAGGTCCCGTACTGGAGTGTCTGGTACCTGACGCCGCGGGTGTTCGAGAAGGAGGAGAGGGATCGGACGATGGCGGCGCGGGCACTCGAGACGCAAAAGAGCTCGTCTGCGTCGTCAGCGTCAGCGTCATCCTCATCACTAGCGGAAGCAGCAGCAGTGCATGTCGACTTTCGGACAGAAGGACACAAAAGAGAGATTGTGGTGGCGCACCGGGATCCCGATCTGTATCGCTCCAGGCTCTGGCCGTTGACGTGCCTCTTCGGGATGTCGTTTGGGGCGCTGCACCTGCTGTCGTGGAATGATGTCTTCCCCACCACGGTGGAGTTGCGGCTGTGGCGTATCGCGGCCTTCGTGTCCATGGGGTCGATGCTGGTGTTCATGCACTTCGAGAAAGTGGTGCTTCGATGGGAGGGGATGGTGACTATCGTGAGCCTGTCTTCGCCGGCGGTCTATCTCCTGAGTCGGATGGTGATGATGGGGGAAGTGTTTGCGGCACTGAGGGCGGAGGAGCCGGCGATCTACGATACTTACGAGGTTTCCTCCTACTGGGTCCATTTGTTATGAACGGCACAGCTGCGTAGAGAATCAAAGATGTGAAGTGGGTTGAGCCCTGACTGATGGTTGCTGAAGCCAGAGCTGACAGACTGTTCGTACTTCAGAATTGCAACTTGATAAGACCCAACACAAACTATGCCCTAGACCTACTCTGGATTGTTCTTTTTCAACTCTTCTTGTCAGAAAAGCAAGGACAGTATATTTCGTTCTCTACCTAACACTAACTATCTAATGGACGTTTCAACGCTCACCCGCTCTTGATATCGATTGCAAAATCAATTTTCGATCTGCCCTTGGCCCCGTATCTGCTTCATCGTGTTCAAACTCCAGAGTGATCGCGCCGACTACCTTCCACCGAAGATCGCTTAGCTCTGATCCAATTTCAATTGGCATATCACCACGGTGAACCACATTCCAGATCCACCACAACGTCTCTCGAAAGCAATCACCCAGGTCCGGCATCCGCAGTCGTGCTCGATTGAGAAAAATATACCTGATGGGAACTGTCTGATTCAATACTTTCAGCATCCGACATTGATCCTTTCGGAGAAAATCGCGCAAGCCTCGCGTGGCCTGCATTCTTTCTAGGTCTGGTTCCAAAGGCCTCGAGTCATACACAAGAAGATATTGTGCCACGCCAGGGTTGGGTGCCGTCGTGTTCAATGTACCAGCGGGACGAACGGAAGCAACTGCCCACCAGTAGTATTTTGCAGAAAAATGATGCCAGGCTTGCCTGGTAGCAAAGAGAGCCGCGTGATATGGACGTGTTTGTGTCCTGCCGAAATGGCTCACCGTGACAGAGGAGTCTCTCTCTTGCTGTGTGAGTGCGTTCTGGTGGTAAACGTCGTCCACTACTGGTGTGGGGAGTACCTCAAAGTGGGCACTAGTATCACTTGGGATAGATTCTGCAAGCGAAACCATGGCATTGGATGCACTTTTCAGATTTAGCCTGTCGCATGTGCCCCTCAACCAAGCAGGCACGTCTTCATTCCTCAGCTGTCCATCTTGGCGGCCAATCCACCCCCAGATGAACTTGCGAGAAGGGGGATTCGACTCTGCAGGAGGATCTTGCCCTGTGGATGCCAAAGGCCTTGCGGATACGTCGGGCAGCTCTGTTATCTCAGGCTGTCCTAATGGGTCTCTTCTGAGGAAGACTTTTGGCTGGGAGATCTTTCTGTGGAAGATCCTTCTCGACGAGAACTTTCTGGAGAAGAAGTCTCTCGGCAAGATATTGCTCAACCACCTTAGCTTTATGATCTGCTTTTGGATCTGCTTTCGGATCTTTCCTTGAACATGCGTTTGAACCCGCCTTTGGACTTCCCGCCTGATCTGAATCCGCTGCCGATTCCGAGCCTGTGGCGACCCTCTACCCAGATCTAAGCCAGTCTGCCTCGGAATATCTTTTTGCGTTGAAGCTTGTGATAAGTTCGTGGGCGAAGCTGTTGTGATCCTATCTGGGTTCTCCGATGGGTTCGAAGGCTGCGGTGGGTACCCAGACTGATATGGGCCCTGAAGAATCGGTGCATTCCAAGGGTGCGGTAGGGTTGCAGACTGCATTAGGCCCTGAGGATTTGGTGTACCCCAAGGGTGCGGTGGGATTACAGACTGCATTGGGCCCACGGGATGCGTTACATCCCAAGACTGCGGTGGTATCCAAGCCTGCGTGCGATGCATTGTGAGCTTGTGCTTGATCGGTCCAAGGCAGACGGAGACATACACTAGCCATGGCTACAACGTGGTAACGATAGATGTAGGTTCTGCTGTGGAAGAATAGGTGTGTGTATTTGATGTACTAAAATGAGGTATGAAGAGACAGATCCATGCCGGAGAAGTCCAAACTGGGGAGGGGACGTAAGAAAAAGGCCTTTCCCAGCTAGCCAGCCATGCACACGGTATGGCAGGCACGAGGGAAAGCGACTGCAAAAGCACTCATCCGTACTGTAACTGTCCAGTTAGCACCTTCTCGAGCACCTCCTTTCTGGCAAAGCAGGAAGGCTCCATCTTTGAGGTCTCCCATGGTCATCAGATACACAATACTTGCCAATATCGGGTGAGAACCTCAAACCCGACCTCCCAAACGAGAGCTGTTCATCTTCCAGTCTGACCTTCAAGGTTACCCACTATACAATCCATTTTTAGATATCGACGATCGTCCCCATCGGATCCACCCTGGTGTCACACTAGCAGCTCCATCGCGAATCTCCACTCTCTCCTTTTTTCCCAGCATGTCAATAGCCTCAACCCCCGAGCATTGTCAAATCCACAATAATAAATACAGTACGTAGTCAGTCCACCACCCCCCTTCCAGAAGCCCCGTAGAGGCCGGTGTCGAACACAAGCCAACCAACAACCTCTGGCGCACACCCACACTATACACCACATCTCAAAAATGCCCATCCCCAACTACGGCGTCTGGGTCGGCCACCCGCACCGCTTCCACGCGCAAACCGCCTACCAAGACCACACGACCCCGCACATCAACCTCTTCCTGCGCGATGGCAGCAACCCGGACGACGAAGACGACGACCGCGAACCCAACCACAACCGCAACCGCAGCGACGAAGTCCAAGTAGCGATCAACGTGAAATCCACGCAGCACGACACGCGCCTGGTCTTCTGGTTCATCCGCGACTTCGCGCACCACCCGCTGGTTCACGAGCTCGCCGGGCTGGACATGGGCTTCCACCGCATCCGCTCGCACCCGGACAACGCCGACGCCGACGACGAGCGCGAGCTCCCCTACCGCCACCAGCAGCACCACCCCACCCTCGTCGGCCTGGACTACCTGCGCACGACCCCGAAGCTCGTGCACATCGAGGCCGGGCGGCTCCTGCCGCACGACATCCCGGGCAGTGATAACGATATGCTGGACGAGCTGGAGCCCATCCTCAAGGATGCGATCCACCGGCGCGCGACGGCGTATGTGTTTGGGAGCTCGTTCGGAACGGGCATCCACGACGTGCATATGAACCAGGGCAGTCGGAAGGCGTACGAGGACGCTGTCTTCAAGGATGGCGGGTTGGTGTTTCGGTTCCCGGACGGGCGCTGGGAGGCGGTGTTCCTCGCGTTTGCGTCGCAGGCGGTGCCTACGGATTATCGCGGGCGGGCGGTGGTTGGGGGTGAGGGGCGCGACTTGGGGGAGGTTTTGGGTTGATTGTTGTCTGGGAAAGTACCTAGCAGGGTATGAAGCTTGAGTGATTGCATTGTGATTAAGTTACATAGAGATAGAACTTGGGACGGTATATAGTGTGACTGGTAGCCATCGGAGTCAGTTGCTCAAGAATCCCTTGCCAAATACCTTGTACCCCTCTCCCTTGACGAACGTCTGTTGCCACGGTTGTTGATCAGGGTTCTCGGCCAGCTCTGCAAATATCTGCGCGTGTGCCTCGCCATCGATGTGCGGTGAAGATGACCCATCCGCTTTTCGCTGGTCAACATAGTAGAACCTTGACTCTGGTTAGCGACGAGGCCCACGATACCAGGGTTCACATTTAGGACGAAACCCCCCCCCCCCCCCCAACAAACTCACTTGTATCCCTTCTCCCGGTAAGCGATCGCCGCACACTCAATCATATGCGCCGTAGCCGACTTCCCAATCCCCAACGTGAAGAATGGAGGCACAGCAACCGTGTTCAGGGCGTTCCCCGTATAAAGGAACGTCCGTGCTGCGGAGGCAGGGAGGGTCTCGAATCCCTCCACAGCCAGCTTGGCGGCGATAAAAACACTGGCGATGTTGACGTTCAGATCGCGGGCGAATTGCTCGGGAGCGACTTTGTTGAAAACATCGTCGGCATCGGTTAGGGTGAAGCTGGAGGCTAGTAGTTATCTCCACACGGAAGGTTAATGATTTCCTGGCATAGACTGGAGAGTGGGTTGGCTGAGGACCGGAGAACACACCATTGTAGATGACCACGCTTGGCACTCCGAAGGTAGTCTTCACGCGCGAGAAGACGTCATGCACGGCCTGTGGGTCGGCGAGGTCACATTGTATATGGAGCTGGGTCTCCGTACTGTCGTCGGCGTTGACGTTTCGAGCTGTGAGGGCGACGCGGTAGCCCTTGGCGGCGAAGTGCTGGGCTGTGTGCTGGCCGATGTTGCGGCCGGCACCGAGAAGGAGGACCACTGGGGCGTCGGTGGTGGTCATGGTGGTTGAACTGGGAGATTCAATTTAGTGTGGGTCTGGTTTGTCCGATAGAATGATGGATTATACTGGCGGGCTCGATTGCGAGATCTCACAGGTATTTATCTCGTTGCTGTGGTGGTTGGTGAGGGGGGCATTACAAATGCAAATATGGGATGAGACCCTATCGAGTATTAGCAAGAGAAACTCAAAGAACGAGTGATACGAGTTTGCTTATGCAGCCGACTCTCTGGGGTCTTTCTTGGGGATGATGTTCTGGGGGATGATGGATGCGGACAAGTAAGGTCAGCTGAAATTCACTTACTATGCCAGTGGATAGGTGCAATTTCCGGTTCCTGAAACTGGGGACGGGGAAAGGGATGGGCTCATTTCTCTTCCTCATTGCATGTTTCGGAAGCTTCTATAGTATTAGCAATCCGAAGTGTGCAATCGAATCCCGCAATGGCTTACTGCTTACTATGAACAAACAGGCAGTGTCTTTGGTGGCTCGATCAAGCGATAAGCAATTTAGGATGCGCTAAGCACGCTGGCAAGAGATTCCCGCTTACCAATTCAGCGGGGTAATGCATCAGCAGAGCTCTTACAGTCGGACTTGAGAAACCTCCTTGCAAAGTAATGATGATTCCTCGTGAAGTACACTCTGAGATGAAGCTCATGCCTTCAATTAAGTTTCTCTGCTTCAGAAGCAAAGGCAAAAGAAGATCAAGATGCTAAAGGCATAAGTAGAAAGCTAAGACTACTGTCAGTGATGGTGCTGCCGGAAAGTGGTCTTCTCGTTCAAGTCAGCAAAATGTCAATCTGCCCTTCTGTTCTGCGCCTTACTTCAGATCCTGAATGTTAGCGTAGTAAGTATCCGCTATTTTATACCCAATTCTTTGTAAGGTCCCTTGGGGAATGTCATTCAAGCCCTCAAAACCACCGGTACAAATAGCTCACGAGTAGGCCCGTGAACATCCAACGGACCTAATCCCGAGAACAGTGTGCGGGCGCTTTCGTCCTAGGATGTTCTCCCTCGATCTCAACATCGCCATCACTACCAGCATTCATATCAACTCGCCTCAGGCATGCTCGCTTCCGCAAAGCTGGCACAGATCGAAATGGAAAGTCCTCCACAGTCAAGTTCCTCCATTTCTCGTGTGTGTGAAGACCATCGAACGACGCGAGTAAATACTGACGGTCGAACTTTGCCAGCTCCGGAGAAGGATTTGTTGACTTTTGACGGAGAGCAGTTAAGTGAGCGCGGACCATCAGCTGTATGGTACAGTCTATATGAATGAGCGCAATCTTCCCAAGACAGTATATACCTGACTTACACTTTAGGAATTCTTGCCCCAGTGAAGAGCAGTCTTGAAACGAGACGACACTCGTAGCCCAAGAGAAGATGTACGAGGCCCATTCTACATCGTATGCGGCACTCAGGGCACAACGCAACTCCTTGAAATCTGTGCATTGTGTGAGTCTCTCCCGCTCGTTCTCTGGCTGGGACAACACCCAGCGCTCGTAGCATTTGGGTGCATGCTTCAGACCGTGACTCTTCCAGATCCCGTAGAATTTGCGGACCCGTTCGACTGCTTTTTTGTAATTATGACCAGGCTCGATCTCCGGGAATGTCCCTTTCACCGGCCACTCCACTCGTGTATTGTCGAGGCCTGCTATGAACTGCCGCTGCGAGAAACGCTTCAGCTTGGCGGCTGGATCCGGATTCGCCTCGAGTGATGGGTATCGGGACTTCCCTTGCGGTTTGCGTGTAGTCGTAGGATTTTCTTGGACCTTTTCTTTGGTAAGAACTGGAAGTGGTGAAGGTGATGACGATGAGTTGGTTGGCTCGGTAGGACGAAGGTCCGGACTGGAGCTGAGATCCTCCATTGTAACGGAAGCCTAGAAGTTTAGAATTGTTGATCTGAGCCCACCGGGATCAGTGACTTGGTGGGAGGAGAAGCAGAAGCACTGTTTGGCAGTTTCAAGAACGTCGCAAACCACTCAAAGCTTTGGTATCAGAAGATGACTGACTATAGTCAACGAGTATGTGTTGTGTCTGACGACGCACGGTGACAAGAGGATAAAACCTGAAAGATTCTGAGGTAGAAGATCAGAAGATGCGAGGAGAAATATGATCGGTACTCAGGGTAGTCGATTGCAGTTGGATGAACCATGCGTGTTCAAGTCAGTAGGGTTTTAACTATTCCGTTCGTCCAGCAGCAGAAGACTACAATTCCGAGCCAACAACTGTTCCAAGGCAACGGAGCTTGTCAGTTGGAAAAGACTTGCAAACATCACCGTCAAACACGTAGGCATAGTAGGCATAAGCTCTGTGGTAAGTACCTCACTGTCAGTTTCTATACATCCGTTCGTAGGCCCAATCTACAAGTATACTGACAAGATGCATCAGCGCCAGTGGCAACTTCATACCTCTTAGCCGACTGCGAACAATGATCATTTGTCCACTGGATTCTGGATCTAGGGGAAATCCATATGCTTGTCCCAATCTAGCCAGAGCTTATCACGACTGCCGCTTCACTTTCTGTACCATGATTGGCTCCAAATTGGCTCATTTCACCCTGATTGCTGCAACCATGCCAGTTCATGCCAGATAACAGTAATGCAATCCTTCAAACTTAGCCCGCTAGCGCTGTGAACCCTTCTTTACATAAATCATATACTCCGGTACAGAGTACCTTGTATGCCACAGAAAGATCCCCATCTCCCCATCTGAGAGAACAATTCTTGCCGCTTCCAAGTGAAAGCGGATTTGTGATCAGAAAGGATGATTGCTAATGCTTATGCGGCGGATGCGGAAGAAATTCCGCGGTCTCCCCCCTGGAATCTCGTAAGCGGGCCCCAGTTTTCAGGCTCCACCCATGATTGCATTGATTGCATTGATTGCATCCATTCGACCCCGCCATTGCTCGTCTCTACGCATATATACCTTACGTGTACTCAACCTGGTCTCTCTCACTTCTCGCTCACTACGATTGTCACTATCCTCTCATCTCGATCTCCCTCATCCACCAGCTCCAATTCATCTCTCCGCAACCGCCAACATGGTCCTCAAGCTCCACGGCCTCGCTATGTCGACCTGCACCAAGCGTGTGCAGGTGGTCCTCAACGAGAAGGGCGTCGACCACGAGTTCGTCCCCATCGACTTCGCCAAGGGCGAGCACAAGTCCGAGGCCTACCTCGCCAACCTCCAACCCTTCGGCAAGGTTCCCGCGCTGGAGGACACCGAGACCGGCGTGAAGATCTTCGGTACGTTTGCTCCGCTCCCAGTCACCATCAGCTTCCCGCACCGCCAGCTCTAACCATCCTCTCTCTCCCGCTGCAGAAAGCAGAGCCATCGGCCAATACATCGCCTCCAAGTACCGCGGCCAGGGCAACGAAGTCTCCCCGCCTGAGTCGGACCTGAAGGTTTTCGCTCTGTACCAGCAGGTACGCTCCTCGCCCTTAACCTTTTCCCCGCCAACACAATCTCAGCCGTATTCTAACCCACACATTCACTCACAGGCTCTCTCCGTCGAACAATCCTACTTCGACCCCGCCGTGTCCGGCATCGCCTTCGAGAAGGTCTTCAAGTCGTTCAAGGGTCTGGGCCAGGCGGACGAGGGCCGCGTGCAGGCGCTGGTCGCCCAGCTGGACGCCGCCCTGCAGGGCTACGAGCGCATCCTCTCCAAGCAGAAGTACCTGGCCGGCGACAGCGTCACCCTGGCGGATCTGTACCACCTCCCGTACGGGGCCTTCGTCGAGCCGTTCGGCTTCGCCGAGCTCCTGCCCAAGTACCCCCACACCCAGAAGTGGTGGGAGGAGCTGAAGGCCCGCGAGAGCTGGAAGAAGATCGCCGATGCCAAATAAGTAGCTTGTATTAGGAAAGTTTGATTTATGAAGCGAATGATATGATATTTTTCACACATTCGTTTAGCTATGTGAGGGAGGTGGGGTTTCAGAGGTCTGGGTCGTACTAGAGGGGCTCGGAAATGGCGCGCGAGTGAGAAGAGCGTCTGTACAATTGATCTTCTACGCTGTGGGAGTGAGGAGCATCTGTACATTCCCACCTAGTCCACCACTCCAGCTGGAAGTATCACTACGTAATCCACTGGCGCAGGCTCAACGCCATCCGGCCGGCCGACGATCTTCAACTCATCCCCCGTCTGGATCTCGACGCCTCGAAACGTGACCCGTGTCGCCGAGTGGCCGTCCAAGTAGATGGAGACAGAATTGCCCAGCGAGTGGTTGCGGAAGTTGCCGACCCATTCGCCCACGACTTTGTCATTGAGACTCAGTGTCCAGTGCGACTCGCCACCATATAGATCATAATAGTTGACGCCTATGTCGTACGTCCCCGATGGAAAGCTGAGCGTAGTATTCGCTGTCCCGGTTGTTGAGTTCGATGTGGTCACAATGGCCGTTACATTCGAGGCCGTCTCGAACGGACTGACCGTGTACGGTCTGTATCCGTCCAGCTTCATGCTCTCCGCCTCGATACGCCAAGGATGATGGCTCACCCGTCCCTTCTGGTCAGGGATGCCCGTAAGGTTGAAATAGAAGTTGTTGATTGCATCTCGCCAGACGATGGAGTGCCCAGCTTGGTATATGAGTCGATCGAGTACCGCGTCGTGTCTTTCCTTGTCAATCAGCTCGTGTAGGGATTTCCATTGTGTGACAAAGGTCTGCGCAGTTTCCGCACCGGCATAGTGGGCATCGTAAAAGTGCTGGATGACGGTCTTGCCGGAGTGGAGCCGATGTGTCCAGGGCACGTGGTGGAACCATAAGACCAGATCATCGGGAGTAGAATTGAGGTACTCATATCGTTGGGCAATCTCGGTAGGATATTGACCCGTGTACCCGGTTCCGTTTCCGACGGTTCGATCCATCCCTACGGACTCGTGATCTGCTCGAGTCCACTGACCCCACCCGTTGTTGTCTTGGGAGGCGGGGTTTGGGCCGTAGTGAGTGTAGAGGATGTCTGTCAGGGTCTGGATGCCTAGGTTCCCACTGTAGTTTTCGTAGGCGGGCCAAGAGGCCATAGAAATGTTGGTGATGGTATTGATAACTTGAGGGTGTGCTCCGAAGGTAAGCCGGATCCAGTCTTGCAAGATGCGCTCCGAATCATCGGTCGGACTCCATGCAAGTCGACCATATGCATATAGATTTGACATGGCAATGTGGCTACCTAGCCATGTCGTATTGGTACCAACATTCACGACAGCCGCCCAGCCGCTAAGGGTACGATTGAATCGATCTCCAGATATAATGTCTCGGACCCGGGAAGGTTTGTGGTCAACTCGAAGGTCGAAGTCGAGAATAGTCTTCCACAGGGGAGGAAGGTAGACGAGGTGATTCTGCTGACCCAGATACTCCTGGCTGACCTGAAGCTCAATCGCAGTATTGGTCTTGAACAGGTTGGCAAAAAGAGGCGATACGGGCTCGCGCACTTGAAAATCAATGGGCCCATATTTGATTTGCACAACCACATTTTCCTCAAACTCGCCATCTAGGTCTTTGAAGTACTGAACTGCTGCCTTGGCTCGGTCTGCCTTCCAATCTGACTCGTTCAAATTACTGTCGTAGACAAAGGCCCGGTACATAAGAATGCCCCCGTGCGGCTGAAGAGCTCGTGCGAAAAGATTTGCACCTTGCGACAACGTCCGATTGTATGTGTTAGGACCTGGCTGGCCTTCGGAGTCAGCCTTGACAAGGTACCCTGCAAGATCGGGAACATGATCATATAAGCTGTTTGTGATATTGCTCCACCAGGCAACAACGTTTGCATCAAGCGGATCGAAGGTGTCTAAGCCGCCTAGTGTCTCGGGAGATGCGAAGTTGAGCGAAACGCCGATCTGGACACCGTAAGGTCGACATACATCTGCGATCCGAGCAAGTCCCTTCATATTTTCAGATGAAAGTAGAGTTGCATTCGCATTGACGTTATTGACGATCAAACCGTTGATCCGAGTCGACGCAAGGAGGCGAGCATATTGCTTAACTGGTGCCAGGTCATCGACGACCCGACCGTTCTTGAAGAAAATCGACGATCCGCCGAAACCTCTCTCAATCGAGCCATCCATGTTATCCCACTGATTGACCCAACGTATCGGCGCATGAGGGTTGCCTGTATAAGTAACATGGGAGAAGTTTCCCTGGGCTATCAGGGAAAGGTACTCGTATGCTCCATATAATGCCCCTCGCTCGCTCTGTCCTAAGATTTGGACAGATTTGCCAGTCGATCGCAACCAAAACCCATCCTGATCGAGTTCGGGAATGCCAATAGTGGCGTTGCATTTATGCCGGAATTCCTCAAGTGTCGCAACCAAGATTGAGGATGATGCGTCACAGCGTGATTGCGTGGCTGTCAGATCTTTAGAGAAGATCGACTGAAATCCGGACTTCAACTCAACACCCGCTGTTCCAATTGGGCTTCCGTCGGTGCCATTGAACAGAGTAAGATGTGAAGGTAGACCCTGCAGGCAAGAAGAATCACAGGGTACCGGAGCGAACCGTAACCAGCCAGCGAACCCATCCTCGGCCGCTGCCAGGGGCAGTAAGAGGCCCAATACTGAAAGGGCGAAGCCAAATTGAACCATTTTATCATCCAATCTGGAAACAATGTGTTGAAGACAGTCTGAAGACACAGTCAAGCACCTTTGCCATTCATATATGATGATTAGCGAGTACTCTTCTCATCCCCCCGCATTATCGGACCACAAGCATGGGGAAGTGGCCTCATGCTAAATGCTGCATTCAGGCTGTTATCGGTAACCAAGTTACCCGATGAAGCCGAGTAGATTCCAGCAATGATGCTTAGCTGTGGGCTTACTGACCTCATGGCCGTAGATAGCGCTGCCTTAGTGAGCTATCAGTTACGATCATGGTCAGCAAAGTTTAAGCGAGTATAATGAGAAAGGCATACAATTAGGACGGACATGAACGATGAGTAGCAATTTTGGGGGGAAACTTGGCCAATTTTGCCGAAAACCTGAGCTGCGTCACTGGTTAGCCGACATTCAGCGTGTCTGCCACGGAGGATCTCCGGGAGTTGTGATGCAACATGGTGGAAGAACAGACGATCGCCCATTTTAGCCAATTTACAATACAGAGCTCAAAACTGCGCTAGTCCTGGATGGTAACACAGATCACGTGATCTCATCTTTCTATATCGGGTATAGCGTGCTCTTTCCTTCCACCAGAGATCTAATGTCATCAACACTTGCAAGTCATTTAGGCCTTGGTCTCTGCAACCAGACAAATAAACTCAATCTTGCCCGAGGATTTTACCAAGCTACATGAGCACTTGAATGAAAACCAGTCAACTGTTGTGAGGATGGCTGCTGGCACTCCCACAACTGCCCGCAGCTTTCGGGCCCGCGCGGTATGCATCCTCCTTCCGCTCCTTATATTGAGTGAAATAGCAATTGACCCATCATAGTGCGACAATTGCCGTCTTCGCAAAGTATATTCCCCTTAAAGCAGGCTAGACTTATGGGCTATCATCTGATAAGCATCACAACAGATCAAATGCGACAAGAATAGTCCCTGTTCGAGCTGCGGCACTCTGGGGATACCCTGCAGACCAGTCGGAGGGCAGTCGACTGCTTCGGAGTCGCCTCGCAACAGCATACCAAACGACTAGTATGAAGCAATGAGCTCACTGTGGGGCTGCTAGACTGATTTGTCGCATAGTGAACGCCGATTCTCTGCGTTGCAGGAACAGCTTGCCACAATTCAGCAGACACTCAAACACATCACGCAGTCTTCCAACTTATCTAGCCCGGCCAAGCCGGCCCGGGAGTCGACTCCATCGGGACCGACGATACCTCCATTCGAAGGTCACTCGTCTTTCCACCATGAAACTCTGGTAGCCAGGGATGCTGCCTATTCTGCCGTGGACACTGCTCAGAATGGACAACTTGGCGACTATGTGTCAGCCGCACTTACGTCACTTCAAACCAGCCTTGATAGGCACCGCGCATCAGTAACGCACGGGGAGACGCAGCCCATCACTCAGCCAAAAGACCAGTTACTCCCTGTAGAGTTGGTCATCGCTGTGGTAAAGAAAGTCAAAGGTTCGTTCATACCCCTTCTCTTCCTCGTGATTGACAATTGACGCAGGGCAGCGCAACCTCCGTTCACTTTGGTTAGTCAGTCCTGGATTGATGCATCTCGCATAGAGTCTCTTTGTCACTCCATATACTTTCCACTCGATCCAGTCCCTGCTGGAACGTTTACACTTTTCTACGGGCTCTTCTTCTATGTCATACGCGACTATTTCCACGCACAGGACCCTGATCTCGCGCGTTATGACTTGTCAGCAACATTGCAAACATGCGAAGCACAGCTTGATGCAGGTCTAAGGGAGCCCGCCATCATGATTGAGCCAACGTTGGAGAAGATACAAGCACTGCTGATTGGAGTGAGTAGCTCAATCCTCGTGCTTGGATTGGTCTAACAGGCACAGATAACAAAATCGCAAGAGGAATTCGACATTCAGCGGTGCTGGACATATTTGTCGTTGGCTTTCAATATGTGCCAAACCATGGGACTCCATCGGCGTACAGCATTGAAAAACGACCCACTACCCATTGCAGAGGCTAAGCGCCATGCCTTCTGGGCACTGTACACGATTGACAAGAACATCTCTCTGAACATCGGCCTGACGTCTCACTTTCAAGACCATGATATTGATGCCGACCTCTTCATGCCATCAGAAGACCCAAAGCAACGTCCCTGGGACTTGATGAGTATTGTTCGCATGGAGTTTGCCAGTATCCAAGGAAAAGTCTACGATCAACTATACTCAACATCTGCTTGTCGGGCCAGCGATGAGCAGAGAGCTGCAGCGATAGAAAAGCTTTCTTCGGACTTAGAGGCGGTTCGAGATAAGTTGCTGACGGTAAAACTTGCCTCTATCGTTCTAAGATTGTTATCTAACGCTTACCGCAGATCGACGTTAGCTTGGGTCTTTATGCTGACTCCTTGCACGGCATTGCGGCTTGTGCTGATTTCATCGCTTACTCTGTGTTGACTGTCATCTATCGGGCTCAGACTCGACCGGGAGATGCCATGGCAATCTCATCGCGATGCTACGAGATTGCTACGTTAGCACTTCACAGTCACCTCAAATGCTTTACATACTTCCGTGGCCGGCAAACCCACAAACAGACCGAATATGTAAACTGGTACGTCCCCGGATACCTACAAAGCTAATATCGACTTACCAAGTATAGGATATTGCTCTATCCTTCCTTTACACCTTTTGTCATTGTGTTCACCCACGCCATTACCACCGCAAGCGCGGTTGATCTAGCCCTTCTGCAGGACACCGTGAGCTCTCTGGAGCTTATCAAGGGACTCTCGCGGGGTTCAATGCATCTATACACAGTGTGCGAAGCATTTGTCAAGGCTGCTCAGGTTCTAGTCAAATCGCGACAAACATTGTCCGGCATCGAACGTCACCAGGATGGATCACTTGTCATGCCTGCCGCGCACGGGGCGGCCAACATTGCTTTTCCAGATGTCTCCTGGCCAGAAAACACCTTTGATTCTCTTATGAGCCAGACCGACATTTCCATGTTTTTGAACGACTTCATCGGAGCCAATCGATCGGTGATGGATATCTTGAATTCAGATTACATGAGTTGAATTATTCAAATGTGACTTATTCTACATATGCGCCCACACGCCGCGGTCGCGTTTATGACGCCCTCCGACCTTATCCCTCAATTACCCTTCAGAAGACATACTATTCTGCTGTCAGTCACAAGGCCAACATTCAGTGGAAGGGAACGACTTACCGGGATGAACAAATACGGAACCCGTCGTTCGTACTCGCGCCATGCTTCCCCATATCTCTCGCGGCAGCGTTCGATATCGCGACGAGCACGGTGAATAATCATCACGGTAAAAAATATGGAATAGAACCATGGGAACGGTGAGTTGAAGCCGGTGATCAGTCCCCATGAAAAAGCAAAAAACCAGTCACAGGTGTAATGGACCTTCCGGGCCATACCATCTGCTAGATATCAACCATCATTCCAAAGTCATCAGAAGCCGGATCGACTTACACCAACCGCTGCACAAAATAGAGTCTCCAGTCTTAGTCGCAATTGACTTCGGGTTCTTCACAGCCCTCCATGGCAGCTGTGGGAATGTCCTGCGCGTCACAGAGACACCCCTCTCTTGAGCACGGAAGATGTTCTTTTGACTGTTGCAAGTGTCCCAAACCCAGTACATGAATAGATATAGAATAGCCCACGCAGCCACAATCGCTGGGTTCCATCGGTATGTTGACGGATCGTGGTTTGCCAGATACAGGGTGCAATGGCAGTAGCTCATGGGAACACCAGCGAGGTTCCAGAAAATGAGCATGAAGCCCCATTTCTCATAATACATGTCCCTAGCTCTAATCAGCTCAGCCCGTATCCAAGCTTCTGAAAGCACCTACCAGCTAGTGATGATCAGTTCTTCGCCTTTCGCACAGGCATTCGCATACAAGAAGTGTGCCATGAGCAGGAAAGCGACCTCGCCCGAGACAAACCCGAGCTCTTCCCATTGTTTTAATGCCGTACCCAAGGTCAACAAAAACAGTATGTACCACGGAATGCGAACCTCGAAGAACATCTTCATGTCGATCCATCGGAATAAGCGGGGATTCAGCTCCGCTCCCATGAAGAAGTCATAGACGTGCGATCCAGTCATCCGATGCTGGCATCCCCTCATCAGGGCGGAAGCATACGCGACGATAGAAACCAGAAACCCGGAGCAAATGGCGACGGACATTAGGGGACCAAACTCGGTGATGAGAGTCGTCAAGGGGAAAAGCCCGGTGAAATGCAAGGCCAACGCAGCCATGATGGTAACATACCAGGATGCGGCGGCTGAGCAATAATAATCGAGTTGCTTGCCATTTAGGTGTGGCAAGCACTTCCCCTTACCGTATACTCCGGGCAGATAGAGGTATCCAAGTCCTTCCAACACAAGAAACGTCCAGTATATGACCCAAGCTTTGCGATGAGGGAAGGCATGTGTGTAGCCGAGGTCGAGGAGGTGTGATCCAAATTCAGTGAGCGATTCTCCAGAGCGTGGCAAGGGAGGTTGGCCGTCGTAGAACGTCGCCCCAATGTACATATAGTACATGAGGAGTGGAAAACCAATCATGAGAAGCGCAACACCCGGTGCACCTCCGAATTCAAAGGTAATTGGTTCATCTTCATGGGAAGTGCTGGTTGTCTTGAGTTGTTCTGTTCTTTGACAAGGTTGATGGATCTCGGGCTGTTGGCTGTAACTCGGGAGTGTCAGTCAGTATACCGTTCAGGCTCGGATGACGAGACCCAAACATCAAAGGCACGAACCTAACAGCAGCACTGATCGCGGACATCTTGATGCTTGTAATGATTTTATCATGGCTCAAGAAAAGAATAGCCCCTGAGATTTATACTCAACCATTGACGTCCCTTTCCATACTCGACTGCGAGCTTGCTTTCCATGCTCTCCGTGCTCTCCGTGTTCTCCGCGGAGCCCGCGGACTCCACGGCGGCCCTGGTCTCAGCTGTTTACTGCCTGGGGCAAGCAACGGAAGTTGCGACTCTCTGACTTTGTTTCTGTTGAAGAGTGCTTTGGGCCGTTATTCCATCAATCTCTTTTCAGTATGAAGTCGTTCCTACTGAACGCCATTTTGCGCGCCATTATGTCTAGGGGGGACCATCGCGCACCAACGAAGCCATTCTGATTCTCATTTTCAGTCTTCGGTCTTTGTCTGTTGCTATAGAGGGCTCGTCTGTTGTACAAATATAGAATTTCGCTTGAGTGATATGATTACATACCAGGAACGACCTCTGCCTCCAGTGCAAGGAAATCTCCACGAGCCACTATCCGGCCTCCCCACTGGCCACAAGCTCTCTTCTCAAGTTCATCCCATAACCGCCCGCCTATGAGCCAGGCAGACACCAATATTGCTTGTCACGGTTATCACAGTCTCTCCCCAATATCATTCGTGGCCCTACAGCCCTATGGGTTTTATTCTGCATGGGCTGTCCCTTCCGCGGCGGCAAGCTGACCCCCATGATTGGCCCGCATGAAAACCGCTCACCTCTTGCTCAGGATCTTACCAATTCACCCCCAGCTAAGCTTTCTCACTGGGGTCACAACGCGTCTCGGATGCAGGTGACGGGCCTCGTCTGTGATGTATCAGCCATCGCCCGCATAGTCGATGTCTGGGCCCCCTCACTCTGCACCCACATCGAACCTGCCGAATCACACCCTGGAGTATAGCGCCCAGCAGCAAGACTAGCATGCGATCTCGTTGGCGGAATCCAGCGCCATCCCTGCTAGGCCTCCAGAATATGATTGCCTAACGATGGAAGTTGCAGTTCACCTGAGGGGAAAGGAGATATAACCACAGTCCCCGACCGAGAGAGCATTCTTCTCCAATTCTGAACACAAGCACATCTCTGAGCTACTGCATTCCAGGCATATCGATCACTAGATCCTTATAAACATCCTCCAGAGCCTTTCACTCGACCAACCCGAGATAGTCTCCGGGACGTATCCACATCATGGGTGTTGCCAAGATCATCGGCAAGGTCATCATCATCCCCATCCTCTTCTGCATCTTCGTCGGGTGCGTCATCTACTTCCTCATCAAGTACCGGCGGGACCGCAAGCGCGAGAAGAAGGAGGATGAGATCCGCGCGCAGCAGTTCCAGCAACAGCAGCAATACGTGCAGTATCAGACGCAGCAGGCGGTGGCGGCGCAGTACGGGCAGTCGCCGTACTACCACCAGGCGACCGCCGACGACTTGACGATGAAGAGACCCGAGCCGGTGTTCTATCCGGTGCAGGCTCATGCGGGGACGGAGGGGGTTTAACTGAGAGATTGTCAGAAGGTGAGTGGACATATTTGAGTGAAGAAGTGTAATGAATAAAGGGAGTAGTGGAAGTGCTGATTCCTTGTGGACTATAGTTTGGTCGTTCGTGTAATACCTATTTCTTGGATCATGAGTGGAAGACCTCGTGGTTGGTTGCGGGTTGGGCTAAATCTCATTGGCTTGATTATAAGGGAAGTATTTTTCTGAGCTCGGATTGTTCTTGTTGTTGCTCGTTTGTCGATGCTGCATATGAGACATGAATTTGTATACCTTTGCGTTCTCTATTGGAAGGTTGATGGGAGGATTTCTGGTTATAGTTTGAATGTCCCTAGCCACGAGTCTCTGGTTTAGATCTCTTTGTCCCGACCTACCTACTCACTGATTCTTCAATCTCCGAGACCTCTTCAAGGACTATATCCCCATTTGGCGGAGTACACTTATCAATTCAATCCTGGCCTGTTGCCAAGGAAAGTGAACCAGTAATTTGATTCTCATCAGAGACATAATCCAGCCCCACTCCACCGCGACCGAAGCACTCAACTCCCTCAATAAACACCACCAACCCGGTGCCCCAAAACCTCGACCTACCAGCAAATATTCATGTATAACACAATTCAGACCGTAATTACTATACTGTTCACAAACGTGACCCTGAATCAACATCCCCCTTACCCTTAATATATTAACCCCCCTATCGACGAGAAAACATGACTCACGAGCCCCGTCTCGAATATATTAATTAATCTGGACCACCTCCCAGATCCGAAACCCGATACACGCCGGAATGTACAGTACCTGAGTCAGGGGGATTTTTTTTTTCTTTTTTCGGCATCGATCAGACCCTGGATCCCGGCTCCGACCGGGAGAAACATTCCCTGAGAGACGGGGGAAATTCGGAGATTGAGTTTTGGGGATTATACTACGGGGGTTTGGAGGGATTGAGGGATTGGGATGTAGGAGGCGGGTCTGGGGAGTGCATGATCGTGCGGTGGTGTTTCTGGCTGGGGCCGGGGGAGGTTGAATTGGTAGGGGGAATTCGGGCATTGGGTTATGTGCCACGTGTTTTGGGGTGATTATCGATAACTATGGTGGTTTGTTTTTCTCGGTGACATTCTCAGTAGAGCGTGGTGGTGCAACAAGGTGCTGACTGGGGTGGTCGCGTCGAGCACGTGTCGCACATGTCACGTTCTTGTCGACAAGGCAGACAACAACAGCCGTTTCCCCTTCTCTTCATACACTTTGCTTCTACAGTACGTCGAAGCGCAGACCTCGAGTGGTCAGATATCTATGATAGGTTGACTCGACAACGGCGACATCCCAAGGGGAGAGAACTTATATTTCAAATCATAATCATTCTTCGTTAATGCAACGCTACAAAGCACAAGCCAATAGATCTCGTGAGAGGTCGGAGGAGACGACCGATCCATCGAGAATCAATTTCTCTCACAATCTTCCACGGATCTCGCCCTCGTCCTGCTCCCGGGCAGGCTCATAGTCCACATAACAGACTCTGTTGTCCTCGAACGGCCCATAGAACCGACTGCGGTCGTACGGTGTGAAGGGGATACCCTTGTACAGCCTCTCCACCAGGTCCGGGTTGCTGGTGAAGTAGCGTCCATACAGCAGGGCGTCGTAGCGACCGGACTCAAGCACATTCCACGAATTGGTCTGGTCCCATCCGCCAGCGGAGAAGAAAGGTGTGGAGCCGAAGATTTTCCGGAAGGAGGAGAGGTCGACTTCGGAGAGACCCCAGCTTTGGAGGAAGGTATCTTTCTCGGTCACGGAGAAGATTTGTTCGTATCTCTATATTCATAACGTAAGAGTTAGCTGAAGATCTCTTTTCGAAAGGGGGGAGAGGGGATGCTGACCGGCTCAATGAAGCTGACATATGATAGGCTGGGAAGCGCTTGTTTCAGCGATTCACACAAGAACGTCCAGGTCTCCATGCGCTGCTCGCCGCGCGCCTGGTTGAAGAGGCCGAAAGGCGAGAGACGGATGGCAAGGTTCTCTTCGCCGACCGTCTGTGCGAGCTCATTCATCAGCTCGAGGACGAAATGACAGCGCTTCTCGGGACTGCCACCGTACGCATCGGTACGCTTGTTGATGTTGGAGCTTAGGAATTGCTCGGGGAGATATCCATTGCCACCGTGGACCTCAACGCCGTCGAATCCGATCTCCATTGCAGTCTTAGCGGCCTCGCAATAGTCCCGAATGGTCCGCTTGATGTGGGGAACGCTCAGTTCGATGGGTGGATGGTCTGCGTAGCGCACTGGCTCGGTCGAGCCCACCGGGGGGTGGGAATAACATTCTGTGGGTGAATCCCAGACACTGGCGGAGGGACAGACGGCGGGCGATCCAGTCATCTGAGGGATGGTGGCACGGCCGGCGTGCCAGAGCTGGCAGTAAATGTATCCGCCTTTGGCATGGACAGCTTCAACGACAGCTTTCCATCCTGCGGCTTGCTCCTCGGTAAAGAGACCGGGAACACCTGGCATGCCGTTACTCTGGCGAGGAGATTAGACATCGATGCGCATCGCGAAAAAGGCAAAAGCTCAGGTCGGATCTACTTACCTCGAGCGATGGCGGAATGCCCTCGGAGATGATCAACCCCCCTGGAGTCGCGCGTTGGCGATAGTACTCGACTATCAATTGTCCGGGATACCAAATCCGATTGGGACTCTCAGGCGTGCTGATCGGGTTCAGAGGCTCGCCCCGGTTGCGCGTCAAAGGGGCATGCACCACTCGGTGGCTGAGTTGGATCTTGCCATTGGCGATAGCCAGGGGCTGGAAGAGCTTGGACTGTTCTCGAAGAAGCTGATCGCCAGTCATGACTGCTATATTTGTGTGGACGGTGGGTTAAGGTTCTGTGCGATGGATGCGGTGGCTGCAGTGGCTGCAGGCAGAGATGAACAGTGGTTCTTGCGAAGGCACAATTCCTCAGAAAGGGGAGCAAGATTGGGGAAACCATGGACAGCAATGGCCACCGTAGTGGGTTTTTCATCCCACCGGCCGGGTCATGGACTTCTCTTCCTCTTGATTCCCGCTTCCCCTCTCCTCTTTGGTTGCTGGTCCGGCCATGGCCCGATGGAGGGGTGCTAAACGGGGACCAACAGGTGCCATTTCCATAACAGGTATGACAGATGGAGCCTGACAGGTTTGGGACCTTTGGGTCGTGTGGAAATATCCAACCAGCGACGAAGAGACGACACGAGAAATTATGGAGAGAGAGACACGGGTTGAACCTTGGGAAGTGGAGCGGATTGTCTGCTAGGCCATTGACCCGTGTTTCCGGCTGGCCGAGGGAGAGGGGGGGGGTTTGTGATTAACGACGATCTGTTTTGTTGTTGGTGTCTGTCTCTTGTGTTGATTTGATAGACGGTGATGTTGATGTTCGTGTGGATATGAGAGCTTGGGGAATTGGAGGAAGGAACAATGTCGATAATGATCTGACATATAGATCCATGTGCGCCAACCGTGCAGTCGACGACAATCAACACCCCTGCCTTGCCCAGAATGCCAGTACCTACCCTCACGCATGTGTCTGGTACGTAAACACACAATTTCCCACACACCCCTTTGACCCTGGCAGCGGCAATGCCAACCACCGACCGCCTCACTCCAGCCATTCCCGACTGAGCCGAGGTGAAATCTCCACTTCTCGGCCAGAAGCGAAAGTCAAAAACCAGGCCCGATCGGCTTGGCACGCATTTAGTCGCTTTAGGGCTTTTTTCGAGCACGCGTCGGCGTCTCAGCCAAGTCCACCAAATTGATGAAGTGACCCATTGACATTAGCTGCCTGCTGCGTACTCGTCTCGCAGCAAATTCTCCCTTGTGGCAGCACTTCGCTCAAGAGTCTATGCAAAGGCCTCACTGGTCAAACCCGACGATGAGTGTTCAAGAGCACCCAGCTCAACCAAATAACGATCCATCCTAGCGTGGCTGGACGTTGACCCATGATTGACGCTTGCATAAGTAGCTTGGTGGCGAAACTCTAGAGATTATTTATCTACGACATGGATGTCGCCTGAAATACGCCGATGCAGTAGTGCGCAAAGCTATTTGCACCGATTTATCAGTAGTGGTGGCGTTGCCAATAGACTGTCGTCGTCGTTGTTGTCGTCGTGCCCTTGCATTTCCCCTAAACTGTAACATCGCAGGCTCCCACGGGGTTGGAGGATGGGTGATCTCCGAAGGATGAACAGGAGATTAATCTAACCCAATTAGATTGCGCCTGGGGCTGAGAATATCGGAAGTTCGGATGTTGATGTCAGATGTGAGTGAAAATTCTGTCTCTGCTGATTTGAGGACTCTAGGTATTAGGAGATGAACTGTTGAGTACTCCGTAGATGTAGCTGGAATGAATGGGTAAAGTGAGGTAGGCAAGGTAAGGTACCGTCGGTTTTCTTCTGGATCAGGTAATTGACAGCCACCTCGTGTTCATGGTGATCCGACCCGTACTTTTACTTCTACACCTTCACGTACAGGCACTGCATCCGATCCGCTCGTTCTCCTCCTCAGATTTCTTGTTTATCTTTGCCCGAACCAGCAACCAAGATGGATATCCATCATGGATCTATTTTCTGCACCTATCACCATCGATCCGCTGTGGAGGCTCTTCCTACACAATCTCTCGAGTCTCGAGTCCCTTGACCCAGTGACCAACCAGCTGGTTCCAGCTCTCCAGTCTCTCAATCTCCCTTTCTCGAATCCTACCCCTGGCATTCCGCCCTGTCAGCTTAAGGTTTTCTGCTACGTTTTCCTAATCGTAAATGAGTGGGTCGATCAAGACGACGGTTCGAATGCTGGTACACTGTGACTGGAAGCCATTCAACTCGGCTTCCTTCTCCCATCTTCCGACCCAAACTTGAGCTTCTCTAGACACTCAGCTGGCGCCTATCAGAGTCGCCACGGTGGGCTTCATCAGTGCTTGTCCCTGGGAGAAAGACTCGGCGCCATGACACTCGGACGATGGAGCTGGAACTCGCCTATTTATTTTGTTTATTTATTTATAATACAAATGTGACTGGCCCCCCCCCACCCAACGTGCGATGGGGTTCTGAATCTTCTCGTCAATGCTGTCTCGACTTCTGGGGATTCATTCGCTATTATTTTCCTTACCCCAGGCGTCATGACTGTGAGCGATCCGAAAGATGTCTTGAACACCATCAACTTCGTCACGCAGTGCTTGTGTATCCCTATAGTCAGTGTCTTTGTGATCCTGCGGTTCTCGATTCGTACATACTACAAGCAATGGGTGGGGGTGGAAGATTGTACGTGTAATGACTTACCGATCACTTTCTTCAGGTTGTTAACATTTTCCAGGGTCCTGTCTCGCGGCATGGGTACGGTTGACTCGAAAAGCTGGAGTTTATGGATAAGGATTAACGCATTGGTAGATTCTGTTTATGGGGTACTGTTCCATCTCGATTATAGGTGAGTCCTCCTGAGCCTATCACACTGCATTCGATTGACACGCCATACAGTCGGAAAATACGGTGGAGGGTACCACATTGATGATGTTTCGACCGCACACCAGGTCCTTTTTCGCAAGGTATATTGAGCCGAGCCTCAGTAACTTACGATTTCTGACTCCTTCACCTCTCAGTTCTGCTATGTCGCCACCGTTCTTTACTGCCCCATGGCCCTGCTGGTCAAAGTCGCTCTCCTCTCCATCTTGACTCGCATCTTCGCTCCGTATCGTACCAAGATTCTCATGATCTACTTCTTTCTGGGCTGTCTGTTAGTCTACTATATTATCGCCGAGATTGTGAAAATCCGGATGTGCGACCCTATTCCAGGATACTGGACGGGTAGCCCCAAGGCCAAATGTATGGACCAACAAGCCGCGCTCATCGCCGACTCAGTCATCAGTGTTGTCTCCGACTTGATTATCCTGATCTTGCCTCTTCCATTGACATGGTCCTTGCAAATGTCCCGCAGCAAGAAACTGCGAGTCATTGGTATGCTTTCTGCGGGTGGACTGGCCACAGCGTTCAGTCTTTACCGTTTGGTCCTGGTGGTCAGAGAAGGAAGCTCAAGAGACATGACTATTGTATTTATGTGTGTCATTCTGTCTGGGTAAGGCTTCTACGCCCGCTCATATGAGCATGCAATGATCTGAAACATTCAGCCCAACTGACTGGTGAACAGCAATGCGGAGGGCGGGGTCGCCCTGATATGCGCTTGCCTTCCCACTATCAACATTCTCATCAACAAGCTCCGCAAGAAGGGCTATTACAGTTCCGACCGTTACGAGCCCACCTCCTCCTTGCAACTGAGTAAGATGAAGAACGGGGGCAGTAAACGGTTTTCTTTAGGCACGTCACGTCGAGCCGATGGGCTCGAATCTGCTTCGGACCAAAGCCACCTTATCTCCTTTGCTGGTGTGCTCGATGTTGCCTCCAGTGCGGAAACAGGCGGGATTCATAAGACGGTTGACGTATCACAGACTGTTGAGGTCGTGGCAGATAGGGAGCACTAGGTTGGAGTCATTTGGGTTTACTTTCGTTTTCTTTTCTATGTTATGGGATATACCAATGGCCGTGCTTTACAAGACTAATATTTCTTTTTGTAGTTATGATTCTGGGTGGTGGGTTCAATGGCTTGGACATGTATAGTTATTAGAAGTAGACTAGTTATCATGATGAGCAAATACTGGGTGGGAACTTAGGGAAAGCAGAAGAAGAGCAAGAACACACACACACACACACAACCAACCCATCGCCCGCTCACATGACTCTCTCTCCACTACAGCTACCACCTACCTAGTACTACTTAATGACTTCCTTACCGCTTCTGCTATTTATCAACAAATTAGCTCCTCAGAACATCCATGCTAGACCCATCTGTTGGCTCGGACACCCCTGCTGCAGGACTGGCGTGATTCACTGATACAATAGCCATGGCTTATCTTTTCACTTCTATCCAAGCTTTACCAAGCAAAAACAAGCCTTGTGTGAAATCCCCGATCTCAAGCGTCCTCACTCCCAGTCAGACAAAATCCAAGCGCCAACACCGAACCACCCAGAACACCACTCCGTTCCGCTTATCTGGCTGTCACACCATGCAAACATGAACGCGTGTGACGTTACAACCATGGAGTAGCCTCGACCGAGGTTCTGGTACACGCAACGACAGCAGACAAGATAGGATACAATCGGCTATCTGGTTATGTTGATTTGTCCACCCTCGCTGTGTATTATGACTGTCTTGAAGATTCCACCATTGGTATAATGCTAACGCCGTCATTTCAAAAGCGTGCTATGTTGAACACATCCCACAAGTCAAGTGGGAACTTCTGACTCGATTGCGAATGCAGCTCTCCCCTCGCAGGCATGACACGGACGGCCATCAGCTACACTTCCATGATAGCAATCTGTCCACACCATTGAGAGCTCTGATGTCGTGTTATTATAGTCTCGGTAACACGACACGAAGGTCAATGAAAAATGAATACGTTACAAGCCAAACAATAGCACATCTCATTCATCATTCCGACGCGCTCGAATCCTTCTCCAGAGTTTTCAACGAGCTCCGAGACCGACCCTCGGTTGATAGTGAGCCATATTAAAGAAGGGATAAGCATGTTGATAGCGGCCTTAAGCATGCGACGTTTCCAACTAAGCCAATGACACTGAAAATAAGATTAAAATTATGCCTAGTCTACTGTCTAGACTAACGTGAGAGCGCCTCCAGAAAGGACCACATTTTGCGACATACGCGACATCTGATTTTTTTTTTTTTTTTTTTTTTTTTTATTATTCCTCCCTCCTCTCCTCCGTCTATCAGACTGTTGTGGTAGGCAGGGACTTCAGAGTAATATCCTTATCATCCTATTGGACTATGATGAAGGAATAGTGCTGATTTACCATCAGCCTCGTCAGCACTGCGATACGGTTTGATACTGTCAAACAAACAAGTGACAAGCCAAGCCTTTGTTTCCACATCCTAAGAAACCATTGCTCTCTTTATCCGAGGGGACTTCCGGTCAAGTGCTCCGTGCTTCCCTCTCGCGCACCAACGCTATCTTAATTCCAAAGGTACGCAACCTGATGGATATTACCCACACTCGATGGTACTT